TGCTACGTCGTCACCATGGCGCCCAACGTCTCCGTTATCTCAAAATATCCACTTGGTTGTATAGACATTTCCTTCTTCTAAACTGATGCAAAAATACATTTCCTAAAGTCTATTTGTGGACGAGTTATACAAAATACAATATTTTCGCAACAGATTTCTGGGTTATGCGTTTCTTTTTTTTGAATAGTATATATACAGTTTATACAAAAACATGTTAATCGACTTATCTCACTCGCTATTGTCATGAAAACATGCTAATTAAAACTGTCAAAAAGGGTAGCAATAACACATAAAAATGGGATTTGGTCCTATGTTCGTCATTTTGGTGTGGGATTTGGTCCTATGGGACTTTGTCTGGGTGGGATTTTGTCTGCCCCCCTCCTGGTCTAGCTAAATATGAAGGGACACTGAACGTGTGAGCAGTTCGTTACACTCTAACTGAAAGTCCAATCAATCTTTATTCATACTGAAGGCCACAGGCCCATAGTATACAAGAACATAGTACACAATATCATAGAAAAGAATAAAAATAGTCAAATCACAATATGTCATATCGTATCAAAATGTATCACATCATATAACATCGCATTACACATACTTTGTCGTAACACATCATATCATACACCCCATATTACATCATGTCATATCATACCATGTATCATATCATATCATATCATATCGCACCACATCATACCATATCGTAACAAATAATATGAGTACATACATTCTATGAATTATTATGTTTATTTCTTAGAGACAATGCTTGATAGATAAAAGTTGACAACTTACGGATAAGAACATTGTCATCAGTACTCATTAACAAAGAAAATTTCACCCTATCAGGATATACAGAATAATATCTTGGGACATTTATTTTTCTTAACTCATAATATAATGGACAAATTAAGAGGAAGTGATATTCATCTTCTACACAATTAAGATCACAAAATGTACAAATTCTATTTTCCCTCTCTATTTTATAATATCTCCCTGTTTCGATTGCCAAGTCATGTGAGGAACACCTAAACCGAGCAAAAGCCTTTCGAAATTTCTTGATATTTAGTGACAGCAGATAATTCTCTTTGATAATTATCTTTGAGCCTTTGAGTAACATTATTCACAAAATTTGTATGAAAGTCAACATTTTGCCTTTGCCATACCTCCCCAAAACCTATTGTATTTAACAATTCTCGAATGTTAGTCACCCAGTTAGTCTTCCCGTTGTTATCGTACATTAAACATCATATCATAACACTGTCTAGGGTATCTATCAGATGGCATATATAACAGACGTATCCAAACTTTCACATTATCATATATCTTCTGTAGCGATCTATTCATCTTAGGGCTAATACCATGTTTTTGCATTACCCCCCAAAGTTTTTCTCTCTGTATTGAATCAAACTCTTTCTTAAAATCGACAAACAAAGCATACATTTTCTTTCCCTTTGTATTTAGACACTTCTGAACAATTGAATTAAGTATAAAGATATTATCGACAGTACTTTATCCTGCCCTAAAGCCGGCTTGGGATTCATCTATTTTATCAAAAGTATTTGCCCAAAAAGTCAATCTCTTGTTGATGATATAGACAAAAACCTTTCCCAATATACTTAACAGATTTATACCTCTATAATTATCAACATTATTAATGTTCCCGCTCTTATGAATTGGGAAAATAATTCCAATAGTCCAAGTCGATGGAAAATTACCGCTCTCTAAAATAACATTAAAAATCAACTCCAAGTAAGGTAATAAGATATCTTCAGAATATTTAATAAATTCAGGTAAGATATCATCAACACCCGCTGCTTTGTTTACCTTTAAGTGTCTTATACTATCTATAATTTCTTGTCTGGTAATAGGTGGATCTAGAATATCATTAGTCAATAGGTCAAAGTCAGTTGGTGTGCTTGTACGTACATTTGTACTCTCGTTGCCAGCACTTACATCCTCTGTTACATCATTGCTAGTTGATGTAAACAATTGTTTGAAATGTTCAAACCACTCACGGGTACTGATATCATGTTTAGTAGACTGTTTACCATTCAAGCCTTGAAGTATTGAACAAAACTCTTTGGAATTGATATGGTTTTCTAGTTTTATCTGTTTTTGTTTATAGTACTCTGTTCTTTTCTGCTTACACTTAGCGTTATATAGGTTTCTAACTAAATGGTACTCATCTAAGTGCTGTTTGTCTTTATAAATTCTGAACTGATTTAATTTCCGGCAAGGCTCGGCTTTCAAACGCCTACATTCACTATCAAACCATGGGCTGTTCTTGCTATAATATCTATGTGTCAATTTTCGTTTCATACCTATTGCAGCAGAGCACAAAGCATCTGCAATATACATGTATTCTATACTCTGATTGATATCACTAAAGGCTGTATCTAAACATTTATCCAGTAATTCCTGCACACTATCTGAGAACATATTTTCTCTAAACTCATACGATTTTTCTTCATTCCAAACAAACTTATAACTATGATTCAAATCTTTTTTTATTACATCATATTCCCGCTTGTGTGTTGTAACCAATTTCATCGTGACTGGGAGCTGCGTGGACTCTGTGCGAGATTGTATATTGAAGTCAGTACAAGACGAGAACAGACATGATGATGCAATAATATAATCAATTACGCTGGCCCCCATTGACCCAAGAAATGTAAAATCTCCAATATTTTTGTCTGCTCCGCATCTCCCATTCATGATATGGATATTCAAAACAGCACATAATTCTACCAAAGATCGTCCAAATGAATTAACAGTCTTGTCGACGGAGAATCTTGCGAGGTTAAATTGATCTACTAGAAATTTCCAATTTGACGTGTCTGTTTCTATATAATCAAGTATATCATCCTCAATAAAGTCCGGATCATTTCCTGTTCTCGCATTGAAATCTCCGCCACACAAAACAGATGCATCTGGGTGATCCGACAATATATCCACTAGATTTTCCTGTAACAACTGAATCCCGTTTTTACAATGTACGTTTGTCTTTTCATACCAGGTTGACCCCTCAGGGTGTACATATACACAGGAATACAACAAATCTTTATCGTTACCTAATGTCTTATCAAATAAAATGTTAGCTGCATTTTCAGTAAGTTTACACCATTTTATATATTGTTTAAGACATTTTCTAACTAGCACAACTATGCCACCTGATAATCTGCCGCGGTGAGATAACTTATCTGCAGGTTTCGTGAACGTGACATAGTCATCAAATATATTATCAACATCACAATCATTAATCCACGTTTCGGTAAGTCCGATAATCTCAAATGTTTTGATATACCTAAGGAACTCATTATCGGATAATTTAGATGATAAGCCAGACACATTCCAAAATAGGAATGATTGATGATAAAACTCATCAGGTGATGCGGTAGACTGAGCAGAGGGTGAGTGATGCGCCGTACAATCACTGGGTGAATCAGTGTCAGTAGTTAGACCCTGGCCACACCCCTATTGGTACCGACCACGTCTAGAGTGAGACCTGAGGTTTCTTGAGATACCACCCCCAGCCTGTGGTCCCGTGGGTAGCGCCTCATCGCTCTCACCTCGAGCACCCCCTGGGGCACTCTCCAACTCACCCCTAGGCTGACTCAGCAGTTTATTACCCTTGTAATAGTACCTGTTATCAGGGTCACTCTGTCTCAGTCTATCAAGCTCCTGTTTCTGGAAAAGGGTTAGGTCGTTAGCAATACCAATTTTCATGTCTCTGAGGACATCACGCAGTTTGACTGACCTCCACTTGTCCTCCCAGTGACACACGCGCACGATCATAGGTCTTGTCTTATTTGAGCTCTTACCTAAACGATGTGCTCTCTCTATGTCACGTGCATCAAGTGGGGACATATCTTTCACTTTCCTGGCGTTATTAAGTACTTCCAGTACTTTACGTTTACTCTCTGTGTAAGTATCATTAGGCGTCTCCTCAATACGATATAGAATCATGTTGTTTCTCCTCCCCCGTCTTTCCTGGTCCTCCATCCGGAACTCTATGTGCTCAACATAACTCTCCAGGTTGTCATGTTTCTCATTCAGTTTATCTATATCTGATCTTATCTCCTCTCGGTCTTTCTTGCCCTTTTCCACCTCACGTCTGACATCTACAATCTCTGCTCTTATAGATTGTACGTCCGCCCTAATTTCTTTAATTTCACCTGACAGTCTATCTCCCAGATCGTTTATGTGCTTAATGATCTCCTGCTTCAAATCGTTAAGCTCAGAGCTAGGGCCTGGGTTCATCTCTATATCTCCCGATACCATCAACTTTATCTGTACTACTCTAGCTGGAATATATAACTGCTCAGGGAGTGTGACGGTGGGGCTGTGAAAATGCAATGGTTGACTGAACACATAACTTCGCACAGTGACGTCACCAACATAAACAAATCCATATTCACACAAATAATCACACAACTGGTCTCGAATTGCAATACTCTGAGTAGTACAAACCGAAGTGACAAGCAGATGCAGAGTGAAGAACTGAAAGTCTGAAAGTCAGTTAGAACTACCACACAATTGTTTGTACCGATGCTTATTTTACGATTTGATATATCCTAATGTGTTTTCTTATTGTTGTGATTAGTTTTAATAACTCTGTTAAGTGCCCCATTTTATCTCTTATCTCTTAAAAGTGTTTAGTGGAAATGTTTTCCGCTGCCTCCTGTTTAGAATTGGTCTTCAGTAGTCCATCCTTGTCCGTCCCCCGTTGTGTTGGCTGTCCTACTTCCGGGCCTACTCGCGCACGCTCCGCACTACTCGTATCTTTTCTCGAAGCAAAAGCTGTTGTTGACTTTTAAAGGAAGTTATCGATCGATAACTCTGGAAGACCTAAAATGCAATAATGTCTGCATACGACACCAGGGTGTTAACGATCACTTAGAAAGTATGATAAATAACGCGATAATATAAGTACCATCCAGGCGTTGAGCAGCGACTGTCACAAAAACCTTGAAAGATAGGCTTAATATAACTCAGGAAAATTGATAGTCCCACTATTTATTATCATAGTACAGATATAACACATATTATGCACCTTCACGATCTGTTATCACAAAAACTTTCACTCAAGTTAATATATATTTCAGACATTCACCCCCGTCCGTACACATTCCGCCACATTTGCTCTATATACGGTGGTATTTGTCCTTTTTGTGGAAAGGGAAATAATCCAGGACCTCCCGGCATTGCAACCGGTTTCCCGCACGGTGGAGTGCCACATGGCGATCCAGGAACCAGAACCGGTTTCCCACATGGTGGCGCTGCACAGGGCGGAACCGGATGTTGAGGATGGACAGGTACAGGAAACGGAATGTAGATGGGTTTTGGTGGTGCCGGCTTTGGAGTCATCGGCATGGGCATAGGCATTGGTTTATGTGGCATCGCTTTGTGTGGCATGTGGGAATGTTTGTAATGCTTTCTCTGCATGATACAGCTGACGATGCTCCCATGAAGACACTTGCGCTCTCTGTAGTGGAACTGGTGCGCGCCTGTGCACTGAGCGGCCACTAGCATGCCGTTCCTGCACTGCCAGTACACTTCACAGCTCTCCGACTCTATCATGGGGTAGTTTCCGGTAGGCATCGGACAGTGGAACCCGGAACATGACTGAAAAACTGAAGAATAAACGAGTTTAGATTGGTATCTATAGAAGACTCGTGAATTCAAACTGTTTAGGGAATGACATTGTAATTTTGCGGTTCATGGCGAAATGAAATCGAAAATCGACGCGAAGCAAAATTTTACAAAAGTTCGCACGTCGGTAAAAGATTCTTGCAAATGTTAGCACGGAACCCGATCCACCCTCATACCACCCTTTCTGTGTATTTAAGCAGACAATGATCATGATATAGTGTTAAGGCGAACGGAGAGTAATATCTTAATATAATTCATAACGACCTGTCAGTCCAGGGAAGAGTCGAGAAGAACTACAATAGTCCGACTGTAAGTATGCCAAGAAGCAGGAGATTGTATGGAGTGAGTGAGTGTCATGATCAGTTTTAATTCCTGGATCGATGCACTGTACACAAAATAGTCCAACAACAGCTTTTCCTTTGACCTTTAATCTTCCTCACTAACATTTGTAGCCCAACGACTGATTCTTATTTGGAGTACCTTAGGGGATAGCCTAGCCTAGCCTAGCCTAGCCTAGCCTAGCCTAGCCTAGCCTAGCCTAGCCTAGCCTAGCCTTGCCTATAATAATAATAAACTAAACTAAACTAAACTAAACTAAACTAAACTAAACTAAACTAAACTATACTATACTATAAAATAAAATATCATATCATATCATATCATATCATATCATATCATATCTAATAATGAGTTTCACAACATGCACCAATCTCCAATGGGGAAAAACTTCGAATATGAAATCAGCACCCCCTTAAGGTTGCAAAAGCATGAATTGACAAACAACCTGCACCTACCAGCATTATTTGACAAACAACCTGCACCTACCAGCATTATTTGACAAACAACCTGCACCTACCAGCATTATTTGACAAACAACCTGCACCTACCAGCATTATTTGACAAACAACCTGCACCTACCAGCATTATTTGACAAACAACCTGCACCTACCAGCATTATTTGACAAACAACCTGCACCTACCAGCCAATGTTAGAACCAGCACAGCACAGGCGTCCATGGTCCTGATGGAGATTGAAGTTTTGGACAAACGTTCTTCTATTTATTGCTCCAAACAGGAAGATGTTTACAAAATAATCACATGTGTAGGAGCCACCTGGCATAAGTATCTCGTCTGTAAACATGTGTAGAACAAAAAAAACTTGAGCGTTATCCTTCAACAGGAGTCACGAACTTATTGTTGGCTGCCATTTCCGGTACGCCCGTGGGACAAGTTCATTGTCACTCTGATTTTTTTAGAAAAGTTCTCGTGAAAGTGGACGAAGTTGTCTCTTGATTTACATGAGAAGGCCACGTAAATATGTATCGGCCGATGCCGCAAGTTTACGCTTTTACACTATCCACGGACATGTATATGGGGAGTGGCAATGAAATATATAGCTCGTTTTATCATAATTCGCGTGATTTTCGTTGAGGAGAGTTTCCTCCCATCACCATCAACTGATCATCGGTTACATGTCTATACCACCAGTGTATGGATGGTTACACACCAGACAGACGGGTATGTGTATACAAGAACCACACTACACACAGAAACAGGGGTACAGGTACAACACTACACACAGGTATTCACGGTTACAGGTACCACACTACACACATGTATTCACGTGTACATGTACCACACTACACACAGGCATTCACGTGTACAGGTAAGAGAATACACACAGGTATTCACATGTCCAGGAACCACACTGCACACACGGGTATTCAAGTGTACAGGTACCACACTACACACATGTATTCACATGTAGAGGTACCACACTACACACAGTATTCACATACACATGTATTCACATGTACACATGTACCACACTACACACATGTATTCACATGTACAGGTACCACACTACACACAGGTATTCACATGTACAGGTACCACACTACACACATGTATTCACATATACAGGTACCACACTACACACAGGTATTCACATGTACAGGAACCACACTACACACAGGTATTCACATGTACAGGTACCACACTACACACAGGTATTCACATGTACAGGTACCACACTACACACAGGTATTCACATGTACAGGTACCACACTACACACAGGTATTCACATGTACAGGTACCACACTACACACAGGTATTCACATGTACAGGTACCACACTACACACACGTACACATGTACACGTACCACACTACACACACAGGTATTCACATGTACAGGTACCACACTACTACACACATGTATATGTACAGGTACACATACACACAGGTATTCAGTACACCACACTACACACAGGTATTCACATGTACACGTATACACACACATACACACATTCACAGATACCACACTACACACAGGTATTCACATGTACAGATACCACACTACACACACACACAGGTATTCACATGTACAGATACAGCTCTACACATATCGGTACATGTGTACATGTATAGTAAACTGCACACGGAGAAGAAAAGCCTGGTTGTATGTAAGGGTATACATCTGCTCTCCTTTATGTGCCCAGTCGTGACTATCTCGTTTTATTGCTTGACGAGTCGAAGATCGATGTATCATCCGTCACCACTGAACCCTTTTCGTAAACTACGAGAAGACCCGTCCCAAAATCGAAGAAGTTATGTGTGAAAATACAACACCTGTACAACTGTACCAGAACTCCTTCACGGGGCTCTCCGCGATTCTTCAGGTTCATGTAGTTTTATAGCTTTATTCCTTAAATCGATTTCACATGTTGAATAGTCCTCTCTAGACTTGTCTAATTTAAACATCTAGATTTTATGATAACGAATAATGGATACCGATAGTTGCTTTGTTTTACCAAAACTATCCAAACAGATATAAAATTGTCACTTTAACTACGGGGTAAACTTCAAGCAATGATTATTGTAAGGTAAACATCTATTGTATATATTATCATAAATCGAACCTACATATGCAGTACGTGAGTGTGTACAGGTGTGTTACTTCATTTCACCCTTATTACACCTTAAAACTTACAAACTTATTTTACAGACTTGTTTACGAATGTCCATGAGGGGAAAATGAAACATCAGAATTCGGAGTATATATATATATTTAAGGTAGCTCTATTTATTTAGCAGGATCTGGTGGTCAGGCTCGTTTGACTTGGTTGACACGTCATCGGTTCCCAATTGCGTAGATCGACGCTCATGCTGTTGATCACTGGATTGTCTGGTCCAGACTCGATTATTTACAGACGGCGCCATATAGCTGGAATATTGCTGAGTGCGGCGTAAAACTAAACTCACTCAATCTATTTATTGAGGAACATATTCATACAAGAGTTGTTTTATGGGTAAAATGTAGTGTATCTATAAGCGTTAGATATTCAATAACCGGATAATAATACTTGATCTTGTATAAGCAAAGTGTGTTATATCTATAATTGACTAATATATTTATTGTAATTGTCTATTCAAGATACAAATTACATCTGCCATTCCTAAATTCAGGGATATTTGAAGAAGTTAATTTATACTGAACAGACATATTTTCTCTTTATAACCTGAAAGCATTATTTAGAAATAAACATTTGGAAATACAACATGATCGGCTGAGAATGATTACTTCATTATATGTTTTCAACTAAATAGTATTACAATTGTCAGTTGTATCTGTAGTGGTAAATCAAAGAGGTTTAGTTCGTATAAAGAAGAGCAATATGCGAGTGCAACAGAAATGGAGTTATCGGTCTTGTTTAAAGTAGTTCTGGCGAATCCCTCTTTCGGGTGTACACGCTGTTCGACTTGTTCCGGAATAACACGAGTGGGTCACGCTTGAGCGATCTTTTCGTGTAGGTTACGGAAAGGAACGAGTGGTGACGGATGTAGATCACCACAATTATATAACCCAGGTCGTGGTTGGCTAATATAGGCCCATAAATCCCGCGTCTTTGCGTTTCAAGGAAGAGAAACATGGCGTCTTACGTGTATGTTGGAGCTCTCCTAGTCGCTGTGGCGGGTAAGTTGGACTGCGGCAGTACCTCGCTATGACATAGTTACTGTTTAACCTGAGCTTATCGTTCTAGTCATGACACTGACAGGTTAGGTGGGGACGATAAACACCGAGGCCTGTGTGTGAAGTAGAGGAGAGTCACACACTACTCGGCTGAACTATAAACAAAATGTTCAGGAGTATACAACCTATTGAAACTGAACATAATACTGAGGTTACAGTGTCGATCCATTCCCAGACAAATCGTGGCTTTTTAGTCAGTTAAGATCAACATTAAATACGATTTATAATAGTTTGGTGTGAAATAGTGGTGTCGTGACAGTTTCTTCAAAATGTTTCTTCAACACGTGAGATATATCCAGGGAATATCCAGGGACTTACTACTACAAACCTTGATGTTTATCTATTACTTCAGGAGCCGATACTCCAGTGTTTGTTTCACGATCACATGAATATTATTGATTCAGTCACAGTTAACTGATGTTCCTTGCCTCATACCTTATTGCGTCATGTATTTATTGTATTCTTTACTCCGACTTTATTGTTCAGCTGGTGACAGGCTGTAAGTGTATACACGATGTAATAGGATCCTATCGCATTTCACGGTGGTAGAGGAACGCGGATGTTGTATAGAAGGACGGGGAGGACAATGCAGTCACTGTCTCTATGGAGGTGTCCCGCAATACATGGGAGAATCAGTCGTTGGCGGCACAGTTGTAAAGTGTGAAAGCAGAGACCTTATAATAGAGTCTCTGGTGAAAGACATCAGATTCGAACTACAATGTTTCGAAGTTGATCATGCCCATGGAAATACGGCTTACAATTGATCTTCGGCAACACATGATTATCGTAAGAGTCCTAATACGGGATTGACAGGTCAGGCTCGCCGAGTGTTCGCAGATTCATTAAAAATATTACGTAATGTCCGTGTGCGATGGTGAATGAATGCCTCGTGTAAGTCAGTTTCTAAGCGGGTTTTGTCAGTGGGTATTGTTAAGGCACAGGGTCAGTGAGACGCGATAATCCCACGATAGTCTAGTCCATGCTTTTGTCACAGGTTCCTTAGTCGATGTTTAGATGATAATGATGATGATGATGGTTTGGGGGTGTAACGTGCGCTTTCGGCAAGACTTCCGCCCGTATCCCCCCTAAATTTTAACCATGAGGAAAAGTTTCTTTGAGTGGCATTATTAAAAAGTTAGATATGTCTTTCAGTATGCTAAGACACAATTAAAGAAACATGCTAGAACTCATCCTTACCAGATGAGGAATATATATATTCAGGGTTACGGGTGGAAGTCTTTCCGCGCTTTCCGACAAAATGCGTATTTCGCACACGGATAGATGTGAATGGTAACCCTTCATTATAACAACATTATTCGTGAAAAATAACCAGGCACCCAACTGCACTCCTGCTGAACATTGTTGGGGCGAACTGAGGAAACAACAGTTCCTTGTTAAGAGAACAGTAAATCTAACATCGACAACAAGTGAAGTTACTGCGTTCTGTTTGAGACTCCCTGTCACGGCTTGATGAGCATCTACATCAACCATTCAGTCAATAACAATAGGCTTGTTCGAAAACAGTTCACGTGACGCAATTACGACTCCACATAATGCCGTGTTGAAAAATATATAATTCCCCGTTGTAACGCACACCGTTGACATGTCAACACATGTGTACTATTTTAATACAATCAATGGGGACAGATGGCCTGTTGTACACACCCTAAAGCCCATACAAGTGTATTTTACTGAATGTCCTGGAAATGAAGGAAGCGCCTGTGTTCGATTGCTATCGAAACAGCTATACAACTGTAAGCGTTTAGTAATTATTTTTTTTCATTTCTGAAACTAAAATACTTTAGACGTTATTCCAGGTCGTTTGTCATGGTTGCGCAATTCGCCGTGCAGAGTTGCCTCTGTGAGGTGTGCATATGATCGCGTCAGTCTGGTTCGGGGGGAATTCAGCACAGCATGCCCCGGGAACCAGCTGGCTGACGATCGTGTTTTCTAATTCCAGATTCGCTGTGATTATGTTGCCAGGTTAATAGACACCATACCCGTATTTGTGGGTTTCAACAAGGTGGCAAACATGTCATAGAAAAAACAACGTTTTAGGTCGATTTTAACCGTGTGAACGGTCACGTACAGCCACGCCTCGCTCGAATATGGGAATTTACTGCATATTGCAATGCACCAAAGTAGATGCCGACGAGCTTCCAATGGTCATAGGGGCGGTGGGGTAGCCAAGTTGTTAAGGCGTTCGCTCGTCACGCCGTAGACCCGGGTTTGATACCCCACATTGGTACAAATGAAGCCCATTTTTGGTGTATCCCGCTGTGATATGGCTGTAATACTGCTAAAAGCGACGTGTTCTGCAGACTTACCAGGCCAATGACCCGTGACCGTGGGTTCGAATCCCAGTTCACCGCGATTGTTTCGAGGTTTGTCAGCACCCTCTTTGAGCTTTTTAGCTTTACGCCGCTTTTAGAAATATTCCATCAATATCACGGCGGGGAGACCAGAAATGGGCTTCACACATTGTGCCCATGTGATGAATCGAACTCGGGTCTTCGGCGTGACGAGCGAACGCCTTAACCACAAGGCTACCCCACCGCCCTCCTCTCACATTAAGCAGAGGGATGGATCTGACTGGAATACTGTTAAAGTGGCGTTAACTTACACCACCACCACCGTCCATCTTCTTGAACAGTGGGCCTGTATTTAACATTTTGGATGTAACTACTTTGAGAGATATGACATGAATGTTGTTTCACGTGGCAATAAAACAGCAACTTGTTTGGAATCCTGTCCCGGGCAGATTCATGCGAACGGTTTAACCTCGGCAATTCCCCACAGTGCCTTCCTTCACGACATGGGCATGTATTTCACTTAATAAGAGTAATCGTCGTGCTGTTTGTTAGGAATCATTAAGAGAGAAGAGGGTGTGTACAGTTTACAGAAATTGTACGAGTCATATCTGACTATCCCCACGTCACCTGGGACTGTGATCGATACAGTGGGTCAGGTTTTGTCCCCGTCCCACCCCTGCCTTTCCTGCAGCCTATCTTGGTAGATTTCGTGTCACCCTACAGTCGGTGTGGCGTTACTTACAGTATCAGCCAGTGGATTATCTGGCCCAGACTCAATATTCGCACGCATGCACCTACGCACGCACACACGCACGCGCATACACACATCTATGGGGTTATATTGTGCATATGTTTTATGGATGACATTAAAAGACCCATTTATACAATAAAATTTGCTGACGTCTAGATCATAATTCCAGCTGCTGAAATAGGACTGCCATGCATGCAGCCCAATGTAGTTGCACAGAAGACGAGGGAGTGTTTTGCCAGCTTGGGATCGGAAAACTTGATCAACCTCGACCCAACGAAGCAACCGGGGTCACTTGGCCAAATATCAAATTTTTTCACCGGGTCACGTGTATGCAGGTGAGAGATAATCAGTTACATTATCGATTGATCTTCTGCAGAGACGTATTTACTTTTGATCCTGCAAACAGCGTTTATCACGGGTCATCTCAACAAGGCGTCCGACTAGATTATAAGGTCCATGGATCAAATCCGATCAAGGCAAATTGTATGGTCGCTACATACCCATCCAATAGATATGTTGTTCTCTGTACATAAACTATAAACGGATGAGTGGTTTACGCTGCCTTAATTTGTGGAACTCGCGAACGGGACAATAGGTATATGGCAGCACATGGGAGGCTACTGTGTAAGTCACAAAGAAATCTTGGCCATCCGTGACCAAACTGTCAACGAGCCAGCACCACTATTACTACTTTAACCACTGAATACCCTAGTCTAGTTCTTGATATCTTTACTGAACACAATAGTCTAGTTCTTGAGATTCTTACAGAACACAATAGTCTAGTTCTTGATATCTTTACTGAACACAATAGTCTAGTTCTTGATATCTTTACTGAACACAATAGTCTAGTTCTTGATATCTTTACAGAACACAATAGTCTAGTTCTTGATATCTTTACTGAACACAATAGTCTAGTTCTTGATATCTTTACTGAACACAATAGTCTAGTTCTTGATATCTTTACTTTACAGAACACAATAGTCTAGTCTTGATATCTTTACTGAACACAATAGTCTAGTTCTTGATATCTTTACAACACAATAGAACACAATGAACACAATAGTCTAGTTCTTGATATCTTTAGTCTAGTTCTTGATATCTTTACAGAACACAATAGTCTAGTTCTTGATATCTTTACAGAACACAATAGTCTAGTTCTTGATATCTTTACTGAACACAATAGTCTAGTTCTTGATATCTTTACTGAACACAATAGTCTAGTTCTTGATATCTTGATACACAATAGTCTAGTTCTTGATACTGAACACAATAGTCTAGTTCTTGATATCTTTACAGAACACAATAGTCTAGTTCTTGAGTTCTTGATATCTTTACAGAACACAATAGTCTAGTTCTTGATATCTTTACTGAACACAATAGTCTAGTTCTTGATATCTTTACTGAACACAATAGTCTAGTTCTTGATATCTTTACTGAACACAATAGTCTAGTTCTTGAGAACACAATAGTGTAGTTCTTGATATCTTTACTGAACACAATAGTGTAGTTCTTGAGTTCACAATAGTCTAGTTCTTGATATCTTTACTGAACACAATAGTCTAGTTCTTGATATCTTTACAGAACACAATAGTGTAGTTCTTGATATCTTTACAGAACACAATAGTCTAGTTCTTGATATCTTTACAAAACACAATAGTCTAGTTCTTGATATCTTTACTGAACACAATAGTCTGAGTCTTTACTGAACACAATAGTCTAGTTCTTGATATCTTTACAGAACACAATAGTCTAGTTCTTGATATCTTTACTGAACACAATAGTCTAGTTCTTGATATCTTTACAGAACACAATAGTCTAGTTCTTGATATCTTTACTGAACACAATAGTCTAGTTCTTGATATCTTTACAGAACACAATAGTCTAGTTCTTGATATCTTTACTGAACACAATAGTCTAGTTCTTGATATCTTTACTGAACACAATAGTCTAGTTCTTGATATCTTTACTGAACACAATAGTCTAGTTCTTGATATCTTTACTGAACACAATAGTCTAGTTCTTGATATCTTTACAGAACACAATAGTCTAGTTCTTGATATCTTTACAGAACACAATAGTCTAGTTCTTGATATCTTTACTGAACACAATAGTCTAGTTCTTGAGATCCTTACAGAACACAATAGTCTAGTTCTTGATATCTTTACAGAACACAATAGTCTAGTTCTTGATATCTTTACAGAACACAATAGTCTAGTTCTTGAGATCCTTACTTTACTGAACACAATAGTCTAGTTCTTGAGTTTCTTGAGATCCTGAACACAATAGTCTAGTTCTTGATATCTTCATTGAACACAATAGTCTTTCTTGATATCTTTAACACAATAGTCTAGTTCTTGATATCTTTACTGAACACAATAGTCTAGTTCTTGATATCTTTACTGAACACAATAGTGTAGTTCTTGATATCTTTACTGAACACAATAGTCTAGTTCTTGATATCTTTACTGAACACAATAGTCTAGTTCTTGATATCTTTACAGATATCTCTTTCTTGATATCTTTACAACACAAGTCTAGTTCTTGATATCTTTACTGAACACAATAGTCTAGTTCTTGATATCTTTACAGAACACAATAGTCTAGTTCTTGAGATCCTTACTGAACACAATCGTCTAGTTCTTGATATCTTTACTGAACACAATAGTCTAGTTCTTGATATCTTTACTGACCAATTGAAAGGGTACCACGGAAGTCCGGATCCGTTCAACAAATTTTAGAAATATTTCAGGTCCACCACTGCTTGTCACGCCATGTTTCACTATGTCACATTTGGGCATCACGAATGAATCAGCTCTCGCATCCCATCACAACAACCAGTCTATTCTATCTTCCAGCCACGAGGACGACTTGGCAAGCGGCATCAACTGCTTGTTTGACTTCTACGGAAACTGTCTGAACATGAGAGGAATGTTTGCAAGTTACCCTCAGATTCAAAAGGCCTCAAGGTTCGCCTGTGAAAACAAAGATGGTAAATTTCTTCGTACACTGATACAGTATATAGTCGTATAAGGGTGTGTGTGTGAACCAGACTGAAAGCGAGGCCATAGTGGGATAGATTATAGTGTGATGAACCTGCAGATCTTCTACTATACGTGCTGGAGCCATGCCAGCTCCAGTAGCCCCCAATACTCAGTGGCGATTCCTGGGGTCTCATATAGATAGATATATAGACAGCCCATTCCATATAACTTTAAGAATTGAAGGACCATTGTTGCAACGTTTTGTTTTCTACGGGTACTATATAGACGGGTTTTTTCATGAAAAATGCGAGGAGTGTTCTGTATGGTGTGTCCGATTGTTATAAATAACTTCTGTCAATTGTTGGAGTGAATCCAAAAACGATGCATTGTGTGCCTTTTGTTGTGCAGATAAATAATTTTTGCTGGATATCAATAAAATCGGAAGGTGTCACTCTCTGTCATATGGCTGTTTCTTCTTCTTCTTCTTCAGCACTGGCTGACTCTTGTCTGAAGGACGTGGACAAGGAGACTTTGGTTTGCTACATGAAGAAGGTGCAGGAAAGGACTATCAAGATCATCACAGGAGAGGTTCAGAGGAAGAGCACGGAGGAAGAGATGTGCGGGTAGGGGAACAGAACGTTTCTTCTTTAGAACCTTGGCCAAAATTGGTCCTTTATGGGCTCCGGACAGAAATGGTCCTTCGTGGATTCCAGGCCAGAATTGGTCCTTTATGGACTCCAGAGCAGAATTGGTCCTTTATGGACTCCAGAGCAGAATTGGTCCTTTGTGGACTCCAGAGCAGAATTGGTCCTTTGTGGGCTCCAGTGCAGAATTGGTCGTATAAACGGATTGGTATTTCGTATGGAAACTGAATAAAGCTTCAAATCCACATACCGTATATTACCGTAGATAAGCCGGCCCCCTAACTTGACCCGGTATTCTTTGAATTGAAATTGAGTCTAAATATTTCTCTTCTTGTCAAAAACATTTTTGTTGCAATGATTTTGTACCAGGCAGTTTCTTTTGCAAACTGTCCGCAACTGATTAACTGTATTTAGCAAGTTGTTCATTGAACAATATTTTCCGATCAAATCTCAGGCCCGCCCCAGAATCTCAAAAGTCCGTCTGTTACTGACGTTGATTTCTACTTACCTCGAAACAAGGTCTCTTGAACCTATTTAGAAAATTAAATTCTGAAGAAAAGTTGTGCACCTAGTCCAGCTAGAATCTGTCTGTTGCTCAACCTATTTGATTATTAAGATTGTTGTTTAACACAAAAAGCATTGAAGAATGTTTCTTTTTCTGTGTAGATTTCTGAAAGAGGAGCTGAAATGCATGAAGGCGGCGCTGTCCGGCTGTCCGGCATCGACAGGGAATAGCTACTACTCCTTCGTTGAGATGCTGATGCCGACCAGATGTCAACATCTGACCCTCTACAACATCCTGAAGGATCGTCCCAGAGTGGACCTAGCTTCTACCCACATGAAGTCGCCACGCTAAGTCACCACGAACACAAGCGAAGTTCAAGTGCACATAAAGATTTTTTATATCTGAAGAAAAGCCAAGTGATCAATAATTCCTGTCCAGTGTTCTTTACAAACGTTTTTATATGTATGTAGAACTGTTTTTTTGTAATTAAAGCGACAATAAAATTCATCATTGTGATTTTTGATTTAAACATGTTTTATTCATTGAGAAAAAGGATTGGGCACAAGTTATTCAACTTAATGACGCCCTCTCCCAATTTATATTCTCTTTCTATCACTTGCTTGATAACGGTATTAGTACCTACACCGAAACGTCGCACTCATTGCAATAAAGTTGACTATCCATAGGATTTGGTTTTCCTTCATCTATACAACTTCTAAAATGCCTCTCAAAGAAGACATACATGGCATATGGATTGACAATAAAATGAATACATGAAATATATACAAACAACTTAAATTAGAAATGTCAATATTTGTATTACTGAAGGGGAAGCTAGATAGATAGGGGATATAGCTGTAGGTAGAGCTAAGCACACGTTCATGTCTAGAGAGAGAGCATTACGACATGTAAGTGAAAATGAATAAATATATACTTGGATTAATACCTCTTAAACTAAGATGCGTAATTCATTAAATGATGATAGATACATGTACATACACCTTGATGATCATTAATCCGGATTAGCCGACCATGTCTCGTGTCAAAACACGTGGGACTCTCGCACTTCCCTTCACACGGTTAGCGGTAGATCAAAGCTTCGTGCGGATAGGTGAGTCAATTTTGTGTTGATTTAGCCGGTTTGTTTGTAAAATGTACCGTCCGGAAACGGAAACCGAATATCCGTTATAGACAGTCACTTTTATAACGTAAGAGATTGGTTTTTACTAAAAATTGACCGGAAGGCGAGGTTTCCGGATATCTGGGGTCCGGGTATCCGAGGTCTCACTGTATATACACAACCATATATATACAAATTAAGGAAAAGACTTATATTAAACACACAACTTATTGTGCATGATCATTCATGTAAGAAATAATGAATACTTATAACATGTATACAAACAAGGGATAATTACGCATAACAGTGCACGTGTCTAAGTGGGTTTATATTAGAAAGTGAGCAACCAATAAAATCATAAACTGTCTAGATTATTCCATACATATATAAGGCAACAGTATCAAATTACAAGGCATCAATGTTTTTTACCTTAATAATAAGAAGAGGAACGATTACAGTAACTATATCTTGTACGGCGATGCAACTGCGACCGCCATACCGCAATAGACAGTCAGCGCGCGATGGCTTTGATGGATGTGTCCATCTTACGTCACTATAGCCTGCTATGTAGCTGTCAGTGTTCAACCTTAGACGTAAACATCTACTGTTAGTTTTGCTTGTAGATATACTTTAAACTGGTATATACAGAGTACACGGGTCTGCCAGCAGTCCCACAATCCTTGCCAGCTTGAGGTGAAGGATTTTATAGACATGGGGTCTGAATTCCGGGTGGAACTGAAGCTATATAGCCAGTTACCTCCCTTGCCCCGGAAGTTTGCCTTTCCCCATATGATCAATCCATTTGAGATGTCTTCATTTCGATTCATTAAGTCTCACACGTCTGGAGTCAGACGGACGAACACCTTTGACAGAACAAAAAACAACCTGTGACGCCAACTCAGGCTGAATCTTGGAACATCCGTCATCAAGTTTCTGCAGTGAATAGTGGCTGCCTGTATCAAGCCCAAGGCAAATGGTGGTCACACCTGGTGATGCCTTTGTTTCTTCAGTTAGTTCTCACAACAGGTACGCGTTTTGTCAGTGAATGTTTTATTAGGAAGCACTGATCAGACAAACGACCAAATATTATGCGGGGTTTTTTACAACGTAGCATTTACAACTTTATGTGAAGCCAAGTTCTGTTTTATAGTTAGCTTTGATATACATAATGGATTACAAAATCCTGAGTCGTTATATTTGTATTTGGACAAGTAACTCTATTCCTTCAACTGAATGTGTATATACAATGGCAAATGACTGGCTGAGGTACTACAGATAACAACCACAAGAAAGTGAAAGGGAAAAAATCTTCGACGTTAAAGCCGTCCAAACAGACTATTCCCTCATCGGAGCACGACTTTCAGTTTTATGGGAGTCTTCATGCTGAGGGTCCCTAAAGCGACGAAGTTCCTCAATTCATCCTGGAAAAAACAAAATGGACAATCTGGCTGATTGCGGTTGTTTCCGTTTCGGGGAAATTTCATCTACAATTTATCGACCAACTGTACTCCATTCGGTCTGAACCAGTCGGACTGTTGGTATACGTCATGATCTACAATGGTTCGGGAAGTCACACAGCCTAGTGAACGGATCATCCTAAGTCCCATCCACTCGAAGGCTCTCGCTGCTTTAAGCCCACACTTACCCCTGGACCCATGGGTCTCGTGAACTCAAATTGCCAATTTTCATAACCCAATTTGATTTGCTAAGTATCTCAGTCTAACCAACCAATGAAAATGCGAGGTGCAAACCAGCCTCAGTGATGGGTTGGTGGTACCAAACATGATTGTGATATACTGCGAGGAATTGAACACTAAAAATCTGCCTGAGACGTTTTTTCATCAATTTGACGGAAGGGGTGTCCAGAAAGCTTTGATTTGTAGGTTATACGAGGTTTCACCCCTCACATATTTCCTTGTTTCCTTGTCTCGGCGTTTGATTCGTAGGTAAGATATTTAATGAAAACTCAAGGGCAGGTAATTTGAGATGGAGAGAAGATATAGAATTGATACAGGGGATAGTCTATGTGTACCGAATTGCCAGCCCATGAGATATGGTGGCTGCTTCAATATTCTCTTACAATCATCCCCATGATGTTGTCATCAACACAACCACATAGCATACAAATACAGTACAAATACTGTGACTAAAGATACGTAACTATTCTATTATATGTAGCCATATTTCTCTGCCTTCTTGACAGTACATATAACATATTGCCATTTAAACATTTCTGGGGTAGAACGTCCATACAATACAGCATATATTTATAACCACATGAGTCTACAAACCGGCGTGTCTGGAAGTCTGGCGAACTGAACCTTCTGTAGGATGCGAGCCAGACCAATCTTCATCTCAACTTGGGCAAGCCTCATTCCGATACACATACGGGGACCTTGACCGAAGGGGATATAACCCATTTGATGAAAATCTGCGTTTTCCCATCTTGAACAGAAAACTTTTAAACTTCAAACCTTTGCCTTCAATGTTGTTGTGTTGTTGGACCTGCCATTGAACGTTTTCACAAAAGCTTTTGGGAATTCACATTCAGCTTGGAATATACAAAGCGTCAGAACGCCTGTTTAGCTTTATTACTGTTGAAAGTCTTTACAAAATTAAAGAGTTCATGTTTCTGAATGGTTTCAGTGAATGACGTTCAAGGCAAGTAGGCAGTTGTCAAGATAACCAATGAAAGGTTACGATTGCTGTCTGGTCTGACTGAATGCTGTCAACCAAGAATCGACGAGTTAGATATAACTTGCAACGACCCATGCTGACCTGAACGCCGACATCATTGAATCCAACCATCCGACAATGTTATTGCTGGGGAGGTACCTTCACTTCATGAAATATCGAACTACACAATGTCTACATGGTACGTACACCTGGTGTTACCCTTAACTACGCTTTGACAATGTCTACACGGTACGTACACCTGGTGTTACCCTTAACTACACTTTAACAATGTCTACATGGTACGTACACCTGGTGTTACCCTTAACTAAACTTTGACAATGTCTACATGGTACGTACACCTGGTGTTACCCTTAACTACACTTTGACAATGTCTACATGGTACATACACCTGGTGTTACCCTTAACTACACTTTGACAATGTCTACATGGTACGTACACCTGGTGTTACCCTTAACTACACTTTGACAATGTCTACACGGTACGTACACCTGGTGTTACCCTTAACTACACTTTGACAATGTCTTTACGTACACCTGGTGTTACCCTGTACACTTTGACAATGTCTACATGGTACGTACACCTGGTGTTACCCTTAACTACACTTTGACAATGTCTACATGGTACGTACACCTGGTGTTACCCTTAACTACACTTTGACAATGTCTACATGGTACGTACACCTGGTGTTACCCTTAACTACACTTTGACAATGTCTACACGGTACGTACACCTGGTGTTACCCTTAACTACACTTTGACAATGTCTACATGGTACGTACACCTGGTGTTACCCTTAACTACACTTTGACAATGTCTACACGGTACGTACACCTGGTGTTACCCTTAACTACACTTTGACAATGTCTACACGGTACGTACACCTGGTGTTACCCTTAACTACACTTTGACAATGTCTACACGGTACGTACACCTGGTGTTACCCTTAACTACACTTTAACAATGTCTACACTTTGACAATGTCTACGCATACGTACACCTGGTGTTACCCTTAACTACACTTTGACAATGTCTACATGGTACGTACACGGTGTTACCCTTAACTACACTTTGACAATGTCTACCATACTTACACTTTGACAATGTCTACACGGTAACTACACTTTGAAATGTGACAATGTCTACATGGTACGTACACCTGGTGTTACCCTTAACTACACTTTGACAATGTCTACATGGTACGTACACCTGGTGTTACCCTTAACTACACTTTGACAATGTCTACATGGTACGTACACCTGGTGTAACCCTTAACTACACTTTGAATGTGCTACACACTGGTAACGCTTACCTTTAACTACACTTTGACAATGTCTACATGGTACGTACACCTGGTGTTACCCTTAACTACACTTTGACAATGTCTACATGGTGCGTTACACCTGGTGTTACCCTTAACTACACTTTGACAATGTCTACATGGTACGTACACCTGGTGTTACCCCCTTAACTACACTTTGACAATGTCTACATGGTACGTACACCTGGTGTTACCCTTAACTACACTTTGACAACCCTGTGTCTACATGGTACGTGGTGTTACCCTTAACTACACTTTGACAATGTCTACATGGTGTTACCCTGGTGTTACCCTTAACTACACTTTGACAATGTCTACATGGGTACGTACACCTGGTGTTACCCTTAACTACACTTTGACAATGTCTACATGGTACGTACACCTGGTGTTACCCTTAACTACACTTTGACAATGTCTACATGGTACGTACACCTGGTGTTACCCTTAACTACACTTTGACAATGTCTACATGGTACGTACACCTGGTGTTACCCTTAACTACACTTTGACAATGTCTACATGGTACGTACACCTGGTGTTACCCCCTTAACTACACTTTGACAATGTCTACATGGTACGCATACCTGGTGTTACCCTTAACTACACTTTGACAATGTCTACATGGTACGTACACCTGGTGTTACCCTTAACTACACTTTGACAATGTCTACATGGTACGTACACCTGGTGTTACCCTTAACTACACTTTGACAATGTCTACATGGTACGTACACCTGGTGTTACCCTTGTTAAACTACACTTTGACAATGTCTACATGGTACGTACACCTGGTGTTACCCTTAACTACACTTTGACAATGTCTACTACACCTGGTGTCTACGTGTTACCCTTTAACTACACTGGTACGTACACTTTGACAATGTCTACATGGTACGTACACCTGGTGTTACCCTTAACTACACTTTGACAATGTCTACATGGTACGTACACCTGGTGTTACCCTTAACTACACAATGTCTGACAATGTTCCCTTAACTACACTTTGACAATGTCTACATGGTACGTACACCTGGTGTTACCCTTAACTACACTTTGACAATGTCTACATGGTACGTACACTTGGTGTTACCCTTAACTACACTATGACAATGTCTCCATATCACGTGCACCAGATTTTGAACGTGTCACACAGGCTACTTGTCATGGTGCTTTCACTGTGGTCTATATCCTAGCATCATTCGATCCCTTAAATATTTTTGAATATTTTTCAAGTTTTCCGAATTGCATGACAATGTGGAAATTATCCATCAAACCCTCCAGTGTACCATGGTAGGTCCATCTGGTGAACACTGATTTTAGTGTCAAAATAGCGACCTAAACGAAGTTATCGCAAAAAACACTTTCTCGGCATTTCTTCTATTCCGTCTACATAACATAGAAGATATCTACAGTAGTTGTTTTCCGGGAGGTTGTAAACCTTAGTGACCCGTGAAGAATTTGGCTAAAGAAAACCTTGGCTTACAATTTGGACCCTTTTAGCAAGGAGGTTTTGGGCATACCTCTCTGGTTTGAATTTATTTGGCTCTGGGAACATATCTGCATTTCTGTGAAGGGACACAAGAGGGACGCTGATGAAGCTGCCCTTAGGGAACGTCCATCCTTTGATGACAGTTGTCTTGGAGACTGCCCGGCTTAACCTACAAAAGACGTTAAATTAGCAAACACCATCGTCATCATCATCATCATCATCATCATCATCATCATCATCAGGTGGAGTAGCCTAGTGGTTAAAGCGTTCGCTCGTCACGCCGAAGACCCGGGTTCGATTCCCCACATGGGTACAATGTGTGAAGCCCATTGCTGGTGTCCCCAGCCGTGATATTGCTAAAAGGCGAAAAAAGACTCACTCACTCACTCATCATCATCATCTTCATCCCACGAAAAGGGAGTTAATTGACTTGGCTCTTGGAGAGAGTGGAACACTTGGATAATAAAAACTGGACGATAGAGAAAATCAAGAGTACATCATGTTTAACACATTCTAAGGGGCTGGTCATTCATTACTGAGCACGTCAGAGGGGATCAGGGCAGGGTCCCCATAAATATGATTGTCTCCACGCTAGTGTTATATACAAATAGATCCACATATTTGTGGATGAACATGAAAACATGGACAGTTTGTAATTAATACAAGCGCTTTTGCATTTTGTCTTTTCACAGAAAGTCACGTACAAGGACATGCGGAACGTCATCCGTGAAAGAGACAATCATTGGGGAAGGGTCAATATTAGCTGTTGGATCGTCAGGCTAAAGGCCCGATTCGATTCCGAAATGGGTATGATGTGTGTGCCTGTTTCGGGCGTGTCACCGTCTTGATATCGATAGACTATTGCTGAAAGCAGCGTAAAATTATTCACTCAAATTCATGTCTGAATTTGTTCTAAGATTAACATCCCCATATGAGAAAATCTGGCATACATTGGCATCAAGTTTAAAATCTTGATATATTTCTACATATGCATCTTTCAAGAGATAGTTTGGCCTGGAACTCTGTCTGCTAAAGGCATCCCTTTGTAAGTTTAGGACGGCACTTGTTCAGTTGAAATACTGTTCCCCCCAGCTTCGAATGGAGACAGGACGATTCATAAAGGAACCAAAACATCACTGATTCTATTTAATTTCTAAACAAACTATTGTTTAAGATGAATATCATTTTGATCTTGTTTGTACTGTTTACCAACAGCTAAGACATAATTCATTCCACTAAAATACAATACAAATCTTTGGTACGTTTAAGTCATCACATAATGTACCAGTCAAATGTAGCTGTCTATACTTGTCTATAGACAATGCGCCCCCACCTTCTCAATGTTAATGGATGTATTGTGAATGTTCAGATTCACTCATCATTTTCTGTACATTTGCGCATCAATGACCACATTTTCAATAAACAACATCATACGTCTTAAAATAAAGATATGATTCAAGGTCATTTCTGTGGAATTTGGTTTCCGTCACCTCTTCAAGATTACACTCACCCGGGTACAACCGGGTACAGCCTGAGGGTCTCTGTAATCACGTGGTCCATGTACGTCAACTTGCCAATGTTATCATAGTCCGCAGCTTCCTGTCAATGCGAACACAACTAATGTCACAGACTGATCTCATTCCAGGTGATAACAAAAAAATTTAGTGCCAGAACGTTTTTTTCATTGATAGCAATTATACATCCATTATTCTAAGATGGAGAGTATTGGAGACAGGTAATGAAGGTCTCGACAACTTATAACTCTGAATTGTAATATCGTTGCCTATAAGTAACACATGTCAAGGTCGGCATTTAAAAATACGAGGTTCCCACAGTGGACATACATACCTCTCCCAATACAGTGTCCACCTCCTGGGTCAACCGTTCTTGAACATCCGGGTTAGTTGCCAGTGAATATGCAGCGAAGTTCAATGTGCTCGCGGTAGTTTCATATCCGGCGATGAAGAACAAGAAGGCCTGCCCCAACACCTCGTCCGTCGTCATTTCTGGCGATAAGGGGATGACAATTCTGACTTTAATATCATCAATATCATCATGCCTCTACACTTACTATACATATATACTCCAGGAAATGTAACTGCGATAATGCCAACTCCTTTTTAAGTAGAATGCAACTCACAATCCTGGCACTTTTTGTTGAGGATTGGTGAAGATGATAACCTCAATCTTGGATGATAAAACGGCTGGAGTCCAATGACATAATGCTTACCTAGAACTCCATCACGTTACTCCAGAACCTCAGTCAACTCCAAAACAAGGGTGGTGAATGGGTCCAGGTATTTATCATAATAGAATTGAGATAATAATAGAATTGATAATCGAAGGTAATGCATCAGCGATCACTGGTGTTAAGTTGGGTCCGGAGAAGTACCTAATAGCCAAGGAGGTTGGAAACCCGCTTGTAAGGAAATCTCGCTTTCCGGACAGTTCTACGTGACACGAAATACATACCACATCAAGTGCTTCATTTAAGCGGAAATCCGGTTTCCGGATCCGGCTTGTATAATTAAATTACCAACAGTGCCAACTATACACTACTGTGTCCTCCGTATCGGCCAATATTGCAGGAATATTGCTGAGTGTGGCGTTAAACACCTACCAATCTTATTGGACAGCAAAGATGTTTGTTTCACACCATGGCATTAGTAAAAGTCCTGGGCGATGTATGAGTCAAGTGATTATTGTGGAATCGATTCTACAGTCGACAAGTACATACTTTTATTGGGCTTTTGGGAACCTGAAGGTTGCGATTGGCTCGTTTCTTCCTCGTCATCTTGGAGGTTGGAGTTATCCTCGGCATCCAGCATCAGCTGGAGGAAGTCGACTCTTCTCTGGAAAAATGAACAGTTACGAAATCAAAAAGTCATAAATTGAACTTTAGACGCAAATGTCGACATCCAAACCACATCTGGCGATCTGACATCCATTGACTTTGGACAGGCAGCCAGGTCACTGTTGACTGTAAAGACAGGCGTTGGTTGCTCGGCACACATTCTCACCCGGCTTTGACAGTCTCTGTATTAGTTCACCAATGGTGAGTCAGCGAATATACTACACATGGCAAAAGCTTCATGGCGGTCACAAGTCCATGGTTTTAATGATATATTTTCTGATAACAACTGAAAAACTGAGGTGTTAACCCAATCACACTGACTCACAGGTAACTTTGACCATATTAATCACAAAATCATCAAACTGTCTCTACACACGAGAAATAATAGATAGGATAATCCAGGTCAGGAGTGTGCACTATCGCTGTAGACATGCATACGTCTTGTCACCCACTGAGAATTACGACACTGACACACATTCACAAATGAGGAAACTGTGTTACCATTTGTTCTTCCTTGGGTTCGCTTTTTCTCATTGTGATCATTTCTTTAAGAGATGACACAAAGAAGTTCATGGTTGACTTTGGAAACGAGGTGAAACCCAGAGCCTTGGCGATCCCCATTAGACTTGGGAACACCACTGAAAGAGACGAGCGTCAGGATACAAACAGGTAACAAACAAACAGCAACACCAGAATATACATATCCTGCAGAATGTGGATTGCTGGATGCTACAACAACAGTTCCATCTGAACAGATGGTGAGTTTAGTTTTATGACACGTTCAGAGAAATAACACAACAGACAAAATGATTTTAAACATATGAAATATCGAATGGCGGATAATTTTGGGAACAGGAGCTACTCAGCGAAAATTGTGGTCATCAACATGATGTATGGATTTCAGATTAATTACATGATTATATGTGGTGTCCTCTAAAACATGGAGCCACACTAGGATGGACAAGGGAGGCATGGTGACACACTGGGATGGACATGGGAAGGCATGGTGACACACTGGGATGGACATGGGAAGGCAGGTGACACACTGGGATGGACATGGGAAGGCAGGTGACACACTGGGATGGACATGGGAAGGCATGGTGACACACTGGGATGGACATGGGAATGCATGGTGACACACTGGGATGGACATGGGAAGGTAGGTGACACACTGGGATGGACATGGGAAGGTAGGTGACACACTTGGATGGACATGGGAAGGTAGGTGACACACTGGGATGGACATGGGAAGGTAGGTGACACACTTGGATGGGCATGGGAGGGCAGGTAACACACTTGGATGGACACAGCAGGTCATGGTGGCACATTAGGATGGACATGGGAAGGCAGGTGACACACTAGGATGGACACAGCAGGTCATGGTGACACACTGGGATGGACATGGGAAGGCATGGTGACACACTAAGATGGACATGGGAAGGCAGGTGACACACTAGGATGGACATGGGAAGGCAGGTGACACACTAGGATGGACACAGCAGGTCATGGTGACACACTGGGATGGACATGGGAAGGCAGGTGACACACTAAGATGGACATGGGAAGGCACACACATGGACATGGGATGGACATGGGAAGGCAGGTGACACACTGGGATGACACACTAGGGAAGGCAGGTGACACACTGGGATGCATGGGAAGGCAGCTGACACACTGGATGGACACAGGAAGGTCATGGTGACACACTGGGATGGACATGGGAAGGCATGGTGACACACTAAGATGGACATGGGAAGGCAGGTGACACACTAGGATGGACATGGAAAGGCATGGTGACACACTGGACAAGATGGACATGGAAGGCATGGTGACACACTAGGATGGACATGGGAAGGCATGGTGACACACTAAGATGGACATGGGAAGGCAGGTGACACACTATGATGGACATGGGAAGGCAGGTGACACACTAGGATGGACATGGGAAGGCATGGTGACACACTAAGATGGACATGGGAAGACATGGTGACACTATGATGGACATGGGAAGGCAGGTGACACACTGGATGGACATGGAAAGGCATGGTGACACACTGGACATGGGATGATGGACATGGGATGGACAGGCATGGTGACACACTGGGATGGACATGGGAAGGCAGCACACTGGGATGGTGACACACTGGGATGGACATGGGAAGGTACACTTATGAAGATGGACATGGGTGACACACTGATGACATGGACATGGACATGGTGACACATGGACATGGGACATGGATGCATGGTGACACACTAGGATGATGGACATGGATGGAAGGCATGGTGACACACTGGATGGACATGGGAGGGCATGGTGACACACTAGATGGACATGGGAGGGTGAGGTGACACACTATGATGGACATGGGAAGGCATGGTGACACACTAGGATGGACATGGGAGGCAGGTGACACACTATGATGGACATGGGAAGGCATGGTGACACACTAGGATGGACATGGGAAGGCATGGTGACACACTATGATGGACATGGGAGGGCATGGTGACACACTAGGATGGACATGGGAAGGCATGGTGACACACTAGGATGGACATGGGAAGGCAGGTGACACACTAGGATGGACATGGGAGGGCAGGTGACACACTATGATGGACATGGGAAGGCATGGTGACACACAAGACAGACATGGGAAGGCATGGTGACACTATGATGGACATGGGAAGGCATGGTGACACTATGATGGACATGGGAAGGCATAGTGACACGGGAAGGGTGGACAAGGGAGGGCATGCATGGTGACACTAGGATGGACATGGGAAGGCATGGTGACACACTAGGATGGACATGGGAAGGCATGGTGACACACTATGATGGACATGGGAGGGCATGGTGACACACTATGATGGACATGGGAAGGCATGGTGACACACTAGGATGGACATGGGAGGGCAGGTGACACACTAGGATGGACATGGGAGGGCAGGTGACACACTAGGATGGACATGGGAAGGCATGGTGACACACAAGACAGACATGGGAAGGCATGGTGACACTATGATGGACATGGGAAGGCATGGTGACACTATGATGGACATGGGAAGGCATAGTGACACACTAGGGATGGACATGGGAGGGCATGGTGACACTATGATGGACATGGGAAGGCATGGTGACACACTATGATGGACATGGGAGGGCATGGTGACACACTATGATGGACATGGGAGGGCATGGTGACACTATGATGGACATGGGAAGGCATGTTGACACACTAGAAATGACATAGGAAGGCAGGGGGACACACTAAGATGGACATGGGAAGGCATGGTGACACACTAGGATGGACACAACAAGTCATGACGACACACTAGAATGGACATGGGAAGGCAGAGGACACACTATGATGGACACGGGAGGGCATGGTCACACACTAGGATGGACATGGCAAGGCATGGTAATACAGTAGGATGGACACAACAAGGCATGACGACACACTTGAATGGACATGGGAAGGGAAAGGACACACTAGGATGGACACAGGAGGGCATGGTCACACACTAGGATGGACATGGGAAGGCATGGTAATGCACTAAGTAAAACATGGTAACGCGACTGAATGGACATGGGAAGATACGGTGATGCCAGAAGATGGGAAGGCCCCAGGGAATGTGTTATCGATTATACATACTTATCATAGACATAACTGGGTTCTGGAGCACGTTGTTGTCAAAGACTTTCTTTGCCTGAGTGATGAAGATGTTGTCGAAGTTGTTTTGGGAGTCTGTGTCAATGCCGAATGCTGTGCTGGCTATCACATCCATAGTGAAAGCACCAAAATAACTGTATATAATGAAATATATATTGATGATTCACATCTGGTCTGAATAGTCAGGCATACACAGTATATTTTCAATGCGATGACATTTAGTGGACTTTGGCAGGTGTAAAAGCTAGATCTTTAAAGGGTTCTTGGAACAAACATGGCTTATAAACTACATTGAGTAGTACAGTAATTTCCTGGCGCTTAGTGTCCTGATGTACTGTTACCTTCCCCAATACCTTTATCAAAACCTTCCCCAATATCTTTACTCATATTTACCCAATACCTTTACTTACACCTTCACCAATACCTTTACTCACACCTTCCCCAATACCTTCACTCACACCTTCCCCAATACCTTAACTCACACCTTCCCCAATACCTTTACTTACACCTTCCCCAATACCTTTACTCACACCTTCCCCAATACCTTCACTCACACCTTCCCCAATACCTTAACTCACACCTTCCCCAATACCTTTACTTACACCTTGCCCAATACCTTTTCTCACACCTTCCCGAATACCTTGATCAAAACCTTCCCCAATATCTTTACTCATATTTACCCAATACCTTTACTTACACCTTCACCAATACCTTTACTCACACCTTCCCCAATACCTTCACTCACACCTTCCCCAATACCTTTACTCCCACCTTCCCCAATATACCCTTCCCAATACCTTTACTCACACCTTCCCCAATACCTTTTACTCACCCTTCCCCAATACACCTTCCCCATTACCTTCACACCTTCCCGAATACCTTTACACCTTCACCAATACCTTTACTCACACCTTCCCCAATACCTTTACTCACACCTTCCCAATACCTTAACTCCCACCTTCCCCAATACCTTTACTCACACCTTCCCCAATACCTTTACTCACACCTTCCCCAATACCTTTACTCACACCTTCCCCAATACCTTTACTCACACCTTCCCCAATACCTTTACTCACACCTTCCCCAATACCTTTACTCACACCTTCCCGAAATACCCCTTCAGCGATACTCAAGCTATCAGAACTGATGTTTTACGCTATATTAAGCAGGATGGTGTGAGATAGCACGCCACCCTACAACCTAAAACATGTTTGTCTACTATTGAAGAAATATTCCTACTCTTTCACTGTGATGGTTTCCTCATTCTCAGCAGCATGTGCCAGATTCTTTGTTAGAGTCACAGCGCACTCGTCGATCTTGGCACACATCTAAAACACCAAAACAATATGGTTTGAACATACATGGTATATAATGATAAATATAAGGAAACCGGCAGGGACCGAGAGATGGACACAACCGAGAATTCGTCTCAACCGAGTTCAAGACACTTGGTTCGACTGTACATGTATGTGATAATCGTGTAGTTAATCTCACTCACTCAACCCACCCACTCACTCACTCACCCACCCTTCCACCCACTCACTCACCCACCCACCCACTCACTCACTCTGGTTATATATATATACTAACAATCCTGAGCTTGTTTCCACTGAATGTCGGAATGATGATATTCCTCACTCACTCACTCACCCACCCTTCCACTCACTCACTCGTCTGATATATATACTAACAATCCTGAGCTTGTTTCCACTGAATGTCGGATGATGATGATATTCCTCACTCACTCACTCACCCACCCTTCCACTTCACTCACTCACTCGTCTGATATATATACTAACAATCCTGAGCTTGTTTCCACTGAATGTCGGAATGATGATATTCCTCACTCACTCACTCACCCACCCTTCCACTCACTCACTCGTCTGATATATATACTAACAATCCTGAGCTTGTTTCCACTGAATGTCGGACTGATGATATTTCTCACTCACTCACTCACCCACCCACCCTTCCACTCACTCACTCGTCTGATATATATACTAACAATCCTGAGCTTGTTTCCACTGAATGTCGGACTGATGATATTCCTCAGTCTCTTCCATGTTGCTCCCGTCTCGAAGAAGATGCCAGTAGCAATGGGGTAGTCGTTGAGTCTAAAAATCTGAAAGTTGACAATGGATATAAACAACGATATACAACGTATGAGGTCCAACACACGTATGTTTTTGTTCCACAGACCACCATACTGAAAACTCCACACTACTTATTCAAAGTTTCTATTACGATTATCCGATTTCATGCCAAATATTACCAAATCAGTTTTCCCTGAGCTGTAGGCCAGCGACAAAACATGCATTACGCTTCACCCTTTATAAACCAGTCATGTAAAAATAGGGTAAATCAAATCAAGAAAGACGACCTAGTTACCTCGTTATAAGATGCAACAAAGGTGGAAACAGGCCTTAATATTTGATTAAAGGTTATATTACGTCAAAGATCTGAAAGATTAAATTCTAATGTTTGCTGGACATATTGGATGTTGTTACAAAACTGAGTGTAAAATAGGAATCAACATTTTAGGCTTCTCCTTCCAGAGTAAAGAAACATGCATGCGTGAGGCAGTGACTGAACTCAGCCTGTCACCATCGTGTTGATGAATACTTACTAGTCTATCCGAAAACCTATTAAAGTCTTTTACAAGTATCTCCTTGATGATTTCAGGGTCGTGCACGTTGATGAGGGGGAACCCACCTAAGTAGACGCTGAAACACGACAGGTGGGGGTCTTTATCAGATTTCTTCTTATTAGTGAATGGGTGACATAAGCAAACTTCTAGACTAACGCTTAGTCTTTGAATATAATTTTGATAGTAACAAATGAATCCATGTAAATTGAAAAGAAGCATCAGTGAGATGGGCGATGAACCTGAGGAATTCTAGACTTGCTTTATAGTCGGAGTTGGAGTTGGTAGGTGTGTGCCCTTGTTGTATTACATGTATATTTAAATTTATACATTCAGAAATGTTATGGGTGGACCGGTAGATAAAAAGTAATCACATGACAACTTCGTAGATGATATTTTCAGCATATACATATATTCCTGAAAGAGACTTTCCAAATTGCAAAATGCATCTCATTCTGTCGTTGTATGTGAGTTGTTTACCACCACATCATTTATATATTCAGGCTTTAGACGGCCAGTAAATAGACGAGAGTGGACCAGAAAATCCAGTGATTGGTATTCTGCGAGCAACGACCCTCGGAGTCAGCCATGATACAGAGGCTGGCCACAGGATCGATTATTTCGTCTCGTGCGACCAACACATATTGGTAGGAACCTTTAGGTAGTGAGTGTGTATGGTTCCAGCAACTCTAGCCATGTCACCGTGAGTGTGTATGGTTCCAGTAACACTCTAGCCATGTCACCGTGATAAGGATACACACATCTAACTCGTGGGAACTTGAACACTCCATTTTAAACTCTGAGAATGAAATATAACTCGTTTACGATATCTAAACATGATATACTGATACAACAATCTAACCACTAATTCATGTTATGATACCACTATTTTTATTCATTGATATCTTATATTCATCTTCTCGGAAAATTAAATATCTAAATATAAAAATAATGTCACGGAACTAGCTCTTCTAGATATGCAGTCAAAAACAAATGAGAATATAAACAGCGTCTTGATCAATTGTTGACTAGTGAACTCGGGTATGATGTGTGGCTTATATATAATGCACTTGTATATGTCCGCGATGTCGTAAATATGAAATAGCCTCACCTGTACACGTCGCCGAATTCCTGTCCCCATTTATTGTCGAGGTCAACGCCCTAAAAATATATAGCAGTACGAAATATCAAATAACAAAAATACATAACATTGTTTATCTAAATGTTTTACATCTTAGTGATAAATTTAAGTAAATTACACGGTCACGAGTTCATTACCATTTTGACAACCTGACGAAGATTTCCTAAATATATGTCTGGAGTTGGGCCAGGTATCCCATAGTCGCTGAGGAAACGGTTCCGTTTCTTTCCGTACCTGAAAATGTGCGAGACAGATACTAATGCTAGTAAAACTATGACACAATACATTTCTATCAGTATTTTATTTTTTTTCTGCTGCTGATTTCATATGTGGAATATATTGACTTGCTTATTTTGTATGGAATTAACTGATTTAAAAAAAATTAAAAGCATACTGCGCAGACACTCAAGATTAACAAGTGACATTGTACTTCTTAAGTAATGCATTCGACACGATGACAGAAACAGATATACCATATTGTTTCTAATACACGTTGCTTCCAAAATTCCGGGTTAGAATTGGCCTTAAGTACGTGCTTTACACAAGAGGCGACTATATAATGCGATCGGCGGTTGACCTGGCTGACACATTCCTTTGTTTCCCAAGCGCTTAGATGGATGATCATTATGCTGATCACGGGATTTTCAAGTCAAGAATCGATTAGTTACAGACTGCCGCTATATAGCTGCGATATTACTGAGTGCGGCGTTAAACAAAACAAAACAAAAATCCAAAGCAGCAATCACCACAATAAGCACCGTCTACGTTAGATTTAAATACACTTTATGTATCATGAAAATATACTTCAGTTATATTAGTCACTGAAGGTCATGCACCGCCGTCACTAACATTAAAGTCGAGACTCCATTATGGCCGCGATGCGCGTATTGCTGGAAATACGGTAATATTCCTTCCCGCTCTCTGTGGTCAATGAGATGTCGACTTGCACCCACCATACTGATCAAACTCAGATATGACAATCGACGTCAAACAGACAGGTGTGTACTCACAGGTAGATCAGCAGGACACATCCGGCAACGAGAGTCCACGTGAGCGGTATACTTATCAAACCAAGTAACTCCATTGTTGACGGTTACCAGAGGCAATATGACACTGCAGTTCCTGTCGTCAGTGTCAAGAGTCCCTGTGTTGGGTGTCGATTTTACGGCTGCAACACTTCTTAAAGCACAAGGTCCATGAAGGAAGTGGTGAAACCTGTCCAGTGAATGATCCAGGCAAGGTCCACTCAAGCTGTTTCAAACACGCTGACTGACAGCCGCTTTTCCTGCGTCATTGTTTAGAAAGCTTCTTTTTTGACCCATATACTCACTGGTTAAAGGGCAAAGGGCACACGGGGGGTAGTGTCAAAATTTTAAGAACTATTTTATGCTTATTTTGGTAGACATTTCCTTCGTCTGTCCTATATGTTCTATTTTTAGCAAGATGTTCATAAATTCATACTATGGGAACTGAAATATATTTCAATACGTGTGCCTCAGTATTAAATATATATATGTGTTTAATATCCGATTTGACGGACAGGGTTTCACACATGTATATGAAAGATGGAGTTGCACTTGTATATTTACACTGTTCTGTTGTATCTCTACACATGCCATAGGGTCGGTGTGGTAGCCTAGTGGTTAAAGCATCCGCTCATCACGCCGAAGCCCCGGGTTCGATTCCCTACATGGGTACAATGAATGAAACCCATTTCTGGTGTCTCCCGCTGTGATATTGTTGGAATGTTGCTAAAAGCGATGTAAAACTAAACTTACTCACTCTGCACATATCACGAAATAATGCACTGCTTTATTTTGAGACGATACCTTGATATATGTTTACATTTTCCAAGGACATCAGAAACGGATGGCTGGTTTGAGGTTTATTTATTAATGTTCTGCCAAACGATCTAAGCTGCTTATTGCCCTTCACGTGGATTATCAACATAGCAGTCCAAAGATTAATGTCGGCTGAAAACCCATACGTGTACATGTAATTACGTTATGACTCGGCAGATCTGATTCTATGTTGTAAAATGTCATCTATGTCGTTTGTGGCGGGGACAGTGTCATAACACAATGTAGCACATTATATAGTATGACCAGAAATTATTGAGAATTTTAGGAATATGTTTAATTGAATGTCTAGTATAAACAACCTTGACCAGCTATCAAGTGTTTGGTTTCATGCAAGAGAGACAACTCCGTTAATCCTTTTTCATTAGTTTGTGAAGAGTTATCCCCCTTTGTTTACTTCCTAGCAGACGACATTTTCAGTGATCCTCAGAATGGATGATTTAGAGAAGAGGAAGTTGATTTTAGAGTATTATAACAAGGACATCAGATCAGCTAAAGTGATTTGAAGTAGAACAGGCATCCCTTTGTCCACTGTTTATCGTGTTTTGAAAAATATTGCAAATGGATATGTAATTGAGCACCAGGGAGGCGCAGGTAGGCCCAGAAAATTGACTGTCGGTGACAGGAGGCGGCTTGGTATTCTTGTTTCTAAAAACAAACGAAGGAGTTTAGAAAACGTAAGGCTGGATATGATTGATAGAGGAACTGTTGCTGTCTGTAAGGAGACAATTAGAACTGAGCTGCAAGCAATGGGTTGGCAGAAAAGTCGAGGAATTCCATCACCGATCATGAAACCTGAACAAAAGGAGCGAAGGTTGAACTGGTGCTTACAGCATAGAAATTTTAACTGGGACAATGTGATTTTCGCAGATGAAAGTTCTGTGTGGCTGTTTCCTAATACACTGAAATTCTGGACCAAACAACTGAAAAACCTTTGTATCAGCGCCCAAATACAGTCCGAAATTTAACGTGTGGGGTGGCATATCTGTGTTAGGGGCAACGCCCCTCTGTGTATTTGAAGGGAATATGAACAGTGAGCGGTACAGATATTCTCGAGGGACATTTACTTCCATCTGCTCACGTGTTCTATGAAAATGTTTGGATTTTCCAGCAGGACAACGACCCAAAACATGTAGAAAATGTTTGGGGATTTATGAAGGAAAGTGTCAATAAGAAAAATCTGACAAATATTGCTGAAATGAAAGAAGAGGTGGTCCGATATTGGGACAGCATGGACCACGGCTTTCTAACTTCTTTGATCAGTAGTATGCCCCGCCGCATTGAAGCCTGCATTGCTGTCCATGGTGACTTGACAAAATACTAACTGTTCACCTGTCTTTGAATCTGGAGTTATGTTCTGCTAATATTCACATTAATACGTGAGTAATGAGTGAAAAAAAATAAAAAATTACAATCTTTAAATTCTCAATAATTTCTGGTTGTGCTGTACCATACGCTCTATCAGTTTCTTTCCTTCCTTTGAAACAACCGTTGGATGAACACAGAAGAACGTTCTTTGAACGGCATTTGGAACTGATGAAGGTGTGTCAAAGAATGTTTGGATATCTACAAAGGAAGAAATTGATATCCCACAAATGTTGGAACCAAGCACAGAAGCGATGTTATGAAATAGATTCTGTGCAAAAAGGGATCTGGCAGAATGCAACATTAAACATTCTCATCATAGCGTCCCCACCCAACCACACACACACACACACACACAGAGAGAGTCATATCAACGTGTGTCAGGGTGATGTGGGATTAGAATTGTGCAGGACTTATTATATAACCACAAACACGGGAATGGTGTAGGCAAACCTAGGGCCAGTCATGATGAATCCGTGATTCAAACCTCATCACTGTACAGTGAAATATCGATTCTTAGACACCAACAATATCACAATTTATCATAAAGATGTTTATTACAAAATGATATCCCAATATTTCTCAATAAGGCAGTATTTCTTCCACACACATTCCACAGTCTTCCACTCGGCATGTTGAGGTCGGTGTCAGCACAGTTATAGTATTACACCAGTTTCATTTATCTTCACATAAATGTGACCACACAGCAAACACTGAGACGAACCAGGGCAAGTTTCCTGATGCTGTTTGAACAATGTTTTATGCTACTGTGTACAATGTTTAGTCAACAGAGAACATAACTTACAGTTTCTCTCACTGTACCTAAATGGGGGACCAAATCTGGCTATTTAGCATTAACTACATGAGAGGCAAGCCAAGACTTTCAGTCATGAAAACATTCATGGTAACCTTTTTAATAACTCTAATTTGATGTTTACTTGATCTTATCATCGTTCTTAAAATAGCTTCAAGGATGACGCCATTCTAACAGTAACAATGAAGATTTAAGGGATGTACAAGGGCTGATTAATAAGTTCTAATGCTCACAAAGAAGGAATTGTGTAGTAGTGAAAACTTTGTTTAGGCCATTACATGATTTCATAGTGGTGTACTGACAAAACCTGAGTCATCCCAGCAGACTGTTTCCTAGAGAACTGTCAGTAAACAAGGAACTGTGACCTTTGCAAAATGGACCAAAAAAGATATAAAAAGCAAGACAATGCATTAAACATTTTTCACTTTTTGCCTATATAATACTTCTGTGAGCATCTGAAATGTGAAGGAGGCATGAACAGTTTAGATGAACTGATGTTGACAAAGCACAGAGTTTACTCAATAACACATATGGGAGTGTTCTATCCACTTAACTGTTAAGAAAATAGTGTCACAATTCACTCAGGTCATTATTCCATCAGGGAAGTCACAGATGTAAAACCTCAGGAAATATGGTAACATAGTTTCAAATTTCCCATTACCACAAAATGACATTTATACAACAAATTAAAGAAACATTCCTCCCAAGATCAATTTTAATGCTCACAACATGCATGAGTCAGTCTGCCTTAGAGGGCAGCTTTCATTCATGACACCCTGTAGTCTAAACCATGTCAGTTGCATGAAATGCCCTTCCATACACCAGATACAATACTCTCAACAATAACAGATAACAAGTGTGTCAACAAAGGCAGTGTGTCAGCTTTTCCTTATCTAGCACCAAAACACCATGTGCACTTATAATTCCTCCGGGGCGGTGGGGTAGCCTAATGTGTTGGCTCGTCACGCCGAAGACCCGGGTTCAAATCCCCACATGGGTACAATGTGTGAAGCCCATTTCTGGTTTTTCCCGCCGTGATGTCGCTGGAATATTGCTAAAAGCGGCGTAAAACCAAACTCAGTCAGTCAGTATAATTCCTCCATCAGGGCACCTGGGTGTAGAGAGGATGTTTACTCTCTCAATGCTCTCTCTTCTTAAATCTAGGCATGTTACACACCATTTACATACATTCATGAACACATTTTGAAAGAAGGGTTTAAGATTGCAGATCTGGTGCAAGTACACCAACGAACACAATCATGGCAAATTTGGTATTTAATCCAGATAAGAAAACTGATAAGAAACTCAGTTGAGCTCACTGAGATCACAGCACCACCACTGTGAAAACAGCTGTCTCAAGAATCTCCTCACTTTCCTATGCAGAAAAGATTGCTGCGGCCACTTCATGACAGCTTTCAATCTCAAATGCACTGCAATAGTACTTCAGGGATATATGTATTCTGATGCTTCCAATAACCACACTATTGTAAAGGTGATTCCAGGTAGGGAAGAGCTGCACATCGTGTATAGATGTTGTAGATGATGATGAATGTGAAGAGGATGAAGCTGATGTTGAACGTGGTCATGTTGTTGGTGGCGTGATCTTCTGAGCTTCTGCTCGTATGACATTAATCAGATCCTGGTTCATCAAAAATGTAAAACGCAAACATGAGATCTGAAAAAGGAGACAAAAGAACATAAGTCAACAGTTGGTTACAATGTAAACAGCTCTGTCATATATTTAGGGGAAGCTCAGGCCCCACCAACTGCTAGTCCTGGCAAGTTTCATCTATATCTACTTTGTCTTCAAAATAATAATAATAATAATAATAGTATATTTATATTGCGCATTTATCCATGCACATTGCATGCTCAAAGCGCTGACATGTTACCCCTGGTCAACGAGTACAGAACACTCCCTGTGGAGAATACAACTGGTCGCCTGTCAGGCTCTCAAGGTTCAAATTCAGACTACCATCGTATCATACCAGGTACCCAGTTTTACTGCTGGGTGGACAGAGGCAATTTTGAACAAGCTCCAAAACTTAGAAATCCTGCATATTTCAAGCATTTTCAGTCTAAAATACTCATGAGAATTTCAAACTTTTTGTATATCAGTCTATACAAACTACTTCCTTCACGATTGTTGATTTTTAATCATAAAATGTTTACATCAAGCACATGTACAGAGTGTTATAACTTGTTGATATCGATACAGTGGACATTACTAAGGCAATATGGTAAAGTAAACTCTCTTTGCCAGTCAGCTTTGAAGTAACTGATGATTATCATTTGCTAACTTTCATTTCTTTGTAGGTTTCTTTCTGAGTCCCTGAGTTGTCAGAGGCTCTGGACAACCCAGGGGAGATAACTGTCCAAGTTCTTGAGAAGTTCTTTCTCATCAATTTCCTCTATGATGTTTTTTATAACCAACTGTTCCCTTACAAAGAGGGGCAGGGGCCCTGCATAGTTTTTGTCTTACATCAAATGTAAAGTTACTGGGTTAGTACCTAAATTCAGTCAGTTTTATTTTCAATGTCCCTTCCCCCTTATTCCAGGCCAGAGCTCTCACCAAGCAACCACCATTCAGGGGAGGGAACACGAATCTGCTGTCAATTTCAATAGATATCAAATGGGTGTTTAGTCACTAAGGTGACATAATACCCACCTGAAATTATCAAATCAAACTTAAAAAGTAATGAAAGTGAAGGTCGTAATTTAAGATGAAGTTAAATGTCAACAAAAACATGACCAGTCAACCTCTCTTGATATCTTGCTCTGTAGTTGTTCAAACACACAAATATTTTCAAGACTCACTTTGACCTTGACATGAATGTCTTAGTGTATGAAATATGCAAAAATAGTACTAAAGAAATTGCTTATTGAAAAACATTCAAGGGAAGTCTTGAAAGTCTATGAAGAAAATACAGTGAACTGTTCTTGAGATATCTCACTGACAATCTTTACAAGCAGGTTAACATGCTGAATTCTTCAAAGTGTCGCCATGACCTTGAAAATTAGGTGAAGGTCACCAAAATCAACTGGGCCCTGCGCATTCCCTAGAAAAGCTTGGTGTTGAATATGAAGAAACTCCATTGAACTGTTCTTGAGATATCTCGCTGACAAGGGTAAAACGTTAAAGTCCCATTGTGACCTTGAAATGAAGGTCAAGGTCACCAAACCTGACTGGGACCTTTCTTTTACTGTGATGAACCTAGGTACCAAATATGAAAAGAATCTAGTCTACGGTTTCTAAGATATTCCAATTCGTACGTACGTACGGAGCCTAATACTATATCCCCGCTTCGCGCTAAACGCACGGCAGGGGATAAAAAACAACAACCCTAAAACACAAAAACTGTCCATTTCTATGTACACAGATTATCTCGCGATTTAACTGAATCTGCGGTATGGCGAAGACCATTATTGCAAGGCATGACTGTATATTATTTTGAGGTAGGTTCGGAAAATTTAAGACCTTTTCAACCTTGAGTTAAGAATCATATTTACCTCTAACACAGAATTATTGAACAGTTTCTGTTTGTTCCCAGCTAACACTGGTTTGCCATCAATGTAGATAGGCCTTTTTCCTTCATTAGCAATGAAGAAATCTCCATTGTTTCGTAGTTTAATGACTCCCTGTCGACGAGATATTTTGGCTGCAGGACCTTCCAATGACAAGTCCACATCAATCTGGTTGTCTTTTGTGGCTCGGCCAAGTGTGATCTAAAATGGTATAATAATGGAGGTTTACAAGTAACAATGCTCCCACAACAACCAGTCAGGGTCTTGTATCATCGCATCCAAATTATACAGATTTATGTTCATTATGTCAATCACTGGATTGCTTGGACCAGACTTGATTTTACAGACCACTACAATTTAGCTGAAATATTGCTGAGTGTGACATTAAACAACAACAAACAAACAAACAAACAAATATACAAACAAACTCTGCCACTGCCTGTTTACACTCAACACATTGGCTATTTCCATTTACAAACAAAATAACTGCAACAACGAAAGTGGATGACAAACAGTATCCCACCAAGGTGTGAAATGAAATATATCCACGCTTCTCAATAAGGTTAAATATTCCTCGACAAGCCTTCTACAGCTCTACAAATTTATCAAAAGATACTCAAATCAGATCCATAAAAGCACATACTCAGATAAAAGCACTGATCTTAATCCAATAAACGCAGCAAACTTTCAAGTTAACCTTAATGAACTGTGTATGCATTAGGTCTATATCCAAGGGCTATAGAACAGCAAGGGATATTCACCTCTCTTGACCTCATGAGATAGCGTACCAGCCTCCCCTTCAGCACTGCCAGTGTCTGGTTATCAAAGTCCTGGGGGTTGATGCCTGCAAATTGCAATACAGGATGATTTTAGCTATTACTGGTATTTTAACACACTACTGTTATGGCAGGGATAGAATAGTTCACTAGGCTCAACAATGATTGACATGTGTTTTGTATTGAAATTATCGAAGCTTATTTATCTACAAATCATTTTCCAATCACTGTCAGCATGCAACTGGTATCTAGGTATCCTCCAAGTTGTGAGACGCATTAATTAATGGCTGAGTGCACATAGGTGATGTTTCCACATCCCAACAATGAAAGTGGGAACAGCCCAGTTGCTGAAGAGTACCCACAGGAGGAATAGTTTCACAGATAGTAAAGTGATGAAAAGTGGAAAACACAATACATAAATGTCAGTCATGCAAAATTCTGTGTGAGAATATGGTCTGAAGAGTCATAGCCATCAGGCGGAGAATGTGGCCCATACATGCAGCTTTGGGGACCATTTGGGTTGATATGACAACTGTCTTTAAATTCAGATATTTTTATTTTTTAGAAGACAAAATATTTGAACAAATATCTGTAAACCAAAGAATAACCATCATATTAAAGTTCTTGCCATTGAAAAACAAATGTGTTTCTCACCTGTGATGCTGTCAACTTGCACCTGCCATTTTGGCAGTTCTTGCTCAAGGTGACGAATCTCACGCTTATTCCGTTTGTCAGCTATTGCCAGTTCTGGGGGTAGATTTCAGGTTTCCTCAGTGTATATCATGTATACATAAAATAGACATGGCAATTCAAATATATGAAAGCGTTTATATATTATCTCCGATCACATCTCAAATTATATATTTCAATAATCCCACTGAAAGATCAGATCACAGAAAAACAGGTTATTTATTTAATTAGCTTTCCAAGTAAATTCTTTACTGTAAAAGAGACAGAATCCACTTACCATGCTCGAGTATTTCATCTCTACCATCCCTGAAAATAGCAATGTAAATATGTAACAGAATAGACTACCATGCACAAGTAGACATAGGTAAAGGGAGGCAACTCATTTAGCATTGTTAAATACTTCACTTCACCTTGTAACATTATGCCAGCATTTACCCAGACATTTCCACCAGCTTTTTTTTGACAGGGTGACTTGGAAAAGTGAGGGATTCCTCCAAAAGTACTATATATTAAAAAGAAGAGTTTCCATACTAGAAGTATTCCTTGTTTCTGAAAAGGCTTATCCTAGTTCAACGGTGCAAGGTTGACAACAGTGAGGAGAGGTATTCACAAGAATACACAAACAAAACTGAATAATGAATGATCAAACTGACTTGATCTTATCCTCCTTTCTCCAGAAGACAGTTACTATTAACATAGTGTACCTGTACACAGGCTGAAAACTCAGCTAGTGGTTGTTAAATTACACTAGAGTCAGCAATATTTCTGCCAGATAGAGAAGCAAAGTTTCATTGTACAGACATGACACAACACTAACTTCAAGTCATCATCATTCAGCATGTCCTCTGCATCCGACAGGTTGAGGACATGGTCCCCTCGTGGCATGGGCTGAACTGTGAACATATGTGAGAGTTACTGGTGTGTGTGCTCTGACAGACAATAACATCACATAGATCACATTTTGTGGACTAATGCTGCATGTGATCAGATTCAGATACGGCCATAATAAATTTATTACGTAATCATTACTTTCTGAGGCACATACAGATCTCAACAAAACCAGAAACTCAGTGAGTGAAGTGGGTTTAAAACAGTGGTATTCCAGTGACATCACTGCATGTCAGGTTGGCCAGTAGACATTTGAATCCTCGATAATAGGTTTCTGGCGAGCATATGGGACGGGATTCTGCAAAGAGAACTTCATAGGCATAGAGACGACTGGGCCGACCATGTCACCCAGGGCCTCATGAAATACTCACCAAACGATGATATGGGGTAAAGTATAGAGCATCAACTAGCAAATCAAATACTGAAGGTACACGGAAATACTGTCACACCATTTTCAGATCTTAGACAAGTGTGTTACATTAACAAACTATTTAATACAAAATACCCATACTGCTTTTATAAAGGAATAATGATGTGAACAAATCATCCCTGCAATGATGTGATGAAAGCGTCTCTTGAACGTACTGTATGTTCACGGCCGGGGAGGAAGATCTCACCTGATTGGTCAGGAAGGAGGTGGTACTGCTTCATTAGCAGCCAATGGCTATGCAGGGATTTTGCAGTTCTTGCAGGATGGAAGATGTCTGGGGTTTTGTCCAGCAGGTCCTCAAACACCTCCAGCGTAGGCTGGGGCTGAGTGTTCTTCAAAGAGACAAGAGAGGAGTCAAAGTCACATGCTGGTACATTTGTAAATCAACATTAGTTTCAGCTGGCTTGTTGCTGTTTACAACTCTTCGAGATCTGTTTCTTTTTATTTCTGTGATATGAGTGTAACATGTATAAAATAACAAGATATAAAAAGGTTTCACCGTTTGTTGGTATTTCAATGCTTCCTGATTTTAGAGTATAGCCATGAAAGTACACCATTGTTTTATTTGTTTTTCACATACTGACATTCTAAGTGCTGAAAGACTGATCGTCTGGTCTTATTCATTATATAATCATCTGCAGTCAGGCCGCGGTAATCCGGTCCTCGTTAATCCGAATCCACCGACTTCCGAACCCTAATCACTGGGCACCAAATCATCTCCCTATATATTGTATATAATTGACACCTCGTTAGTCCGATGATTCAGTTTCCGCCTCCGAACGCTGGTCAGTCGGAACGGATTGGACTAATTAAGTTGTAAACAGCTGCGTTAATCCGAACGATTGAAGTTGACCGCGCTGCTGACTGGTCCACCCAAAGTGACACGCTTCGTTTGTTTAGCTTACTTAGCTTAATTTCTAGTTCATGTGAATAAACTCGTATTCCAGCCAAGGCCTACATCCTACAATTACCAATAGGTTGAGTTTCTACCCTCGCTACCCTCGCTTTATGCCTAAATCCCTTGTGCCTCTCTGCCTAGTGAAGTGCGTCAAAGAACTTGAATTTGCCGCTAGACGGGAGCACAAACCCCAGACTACTTTTATAAAGGAATAATGATGTGAACAAATCATCCCTGCAATGATGTGATGAAAGCGTCTCTTGAGCGCATACTGTATGTTCACGCGCCGGGAGGAAGATCTCACCTGATTGGTCAGGAAGGAGGTGGTACTGCTTCATTAGCAGCCAATGGCTATGCAGGGATTTTGCAGTTCTTGCAGGATGGAAGATGTCTGGGGTTTTGTCCAGCAGGTCCTCAAACACCTCCAGCGTAGGCTGGGGCTGAGTGTTCTTCAAAGAGACAAGAGAGGAGTCAAAGTCACATGCTGGTACATTTGTAAATCAACATTAGTTTCAGCTGGCTTGTTGCTGTTTACAACTCTTCGAGATCTGTTTCTTTTTATTTCTGTGATATGAGTGTAACATGTATAAAATAACAAGATATAAAAAGGTTTCACCGTTTGTTGGTATTTCAATGCTTCCTGATTTTAGAGTATAGCCATGAAAGTACACCATTGTTTTATTTGTTTTTCACATACTGACATTCTAAGTGCTGAAAGACTGATCGTCTGGTCTTATTCATTATATAATCATCTGCAGTCAGGCCGCGGTAATCCGGTCCTCGTTAATCCGAATCCACCGACTTCCGAACCCTAATCACTGGGCACCAAATCATCTCCCTATATATTGTATATAATTGACACCTCGTTAGTCCGATGATTCAGTTTCCGCCTCCGAACGCTGGTCAGTCGGAACGGATTGGACTAATTAAGTTGTAAACAGCTGCGTTAATCCGAACGATTGAAGTTGACCGCGCTGCTGACTGGTCCACCCAAAGTGACACGCTGTTTGTTTAGCGACTTAGCGACTCTAGTTCATGTGAATAAACTCGTATTCCAGCCAAGGCCTACATCCTACAATTACCAATAGGTTGAGTTTCTACCCTCGTTACCCTCGTTTATGCCTAAATCCCTTGTGCCTCTCTGCCTAGTGAAGTGCGTCAAAGAACTTGAATTTGCCGGCTAGACGGGGAGCACAAACCCCAGTGTATGAACTTAAGAGAAGCCTTGCGATTCCTGTCAGACGATCAAGAACTGTTTCAAGCATGTCGAAATTCTGTGAAGTCAAGAATCCCAGATTGGTGAAAAAACAACCTTTGCAGCAGCCCACCATTAAAGACTACTTTTGTAAGTAAAATGTCTGAGTGAAACAATGTGTAATAAATCCAGTGATTGTCTTTGATGTTTTGTTTTGATTTCTTCACGTATCGATAGTAAGGAAAGATATCAAGGGGAAGTAACTCGGTGCATATACTGTGGTTTCAGCAGTACGAACGTTTCACTATCCGAACGTTTTTTTAAAAAAAACAAAGTGTTCGTATTAACGAGGTCTAACTGTATTTGTTTTTACCCCTACTAAAGTTCTCCACTGCCACGCTGACAGATGACACTAACCGATGGTATTTTTCCCAGCAGTTTCTCCTCCTCAGTGCTGTAGAGGGCTTGAGCCTGGACTGCCCCTGCCACATCGGGGTGTAACATCTTCATGGCTTGAATAGCAAGTCTGTGAAACAATGGTGCGAGTTGTGACCTTATTTTAGTTACAGACTAGGCTAGATGCCTTTTTCAAAATTCAATGTTTGAAAAAAAGAAAAAGTAATTCATAGACAACACATGGAACACATGTAATCTTCCATCTTCCACCCCCTCCAATCTGTATTCTCCACTTCTCTTTTCACACATCCTGTACGGCATACATGTAATTGCCTCCCCTGCCATCTGCTGCACTCTCTGCTTATATGTACACAGGTTATGTGTTCCACATGACCAAACAGCAAAGTCACATTGGTATTTAATTGAAAATGCTTATATGAATGCCTGGCCAACCGAATGAGAAATAACACCTCTTTTAAAAAAGAAGAACAACAATTCAAAGAAAACAGCACAATTATACCCGTCATACAATATACCCTTCATGGTACATCCATATGAATGAAGGTGCCATGATGCTCAGAAACGACATGATGATAAATATATCCACCACAATATAATATCATAGCTTTACATTTTAAACTGTGTTTATGTTTGATTTCGAGATACAGAAATCCCATATCCTGTCTGCCAGCTTTGCTAGTGCACTTACTTTGAAATGACTGGGTCATACAGCAGGGCATACCACCTCTCCTGGATTTCCTTCAGGGTGAATCTACACGAGAACTTCACTCCCTGGTACACACCGGTCAGGTCATTGGTCTAAAAGGAAACAAGATTTGTAACAAGAAATATAATATTTAGTTAAAATTAATAGTTTATACTTATTCTGAGCTATTGTTAGACTGTTCATTTGGGAACAATAGGACAGAGGTTTCCACTGCACCTTGAAGATAGGGGGTACACCTACAGAATACCGGATACTTACCAGCCATATTGTTTAGTGTCACATCACCCTAACCATAACGCTAATGCTAAAGCTCACCCTAACCCTAAACCTTAACCTAACCCTAAGTAAACCCGCGTGATTTCAAAGATAGCAGAAGGTATCTGGTATTCTGTAGTCTTACTGAAAAGGGAGATAAGCAGTAATGTATATGAGTTAGGATAAGGAAAAATAAATACTTATTATTGAAACATAGATAAAATATTACTATTTGAATGTGATGTTTCAGTTCTAATTCTTTAGTTCTGTTTACATACCTGTTGAACTGCAGTTATCAAGGCCAGGTCATCCTGAGCCTTCCATCGTCCCAGGTCTTTGGTAGAAGCTGGGGCTTGTGTCTGTAATACAAGGAGACTGAATTAAACAGTATTGACATAAATTTGATAAATTCTCCTAGATAGTTCGAGCATTTTCTCCAAATATAAAATTAAGGATATCATTCAGCCAATATACCTGCACTGCACCTTAGAGTGATAGCAGTGTAACATAAATCGACCAGGACACATGTCACATGGAAACAGTGCATAGTACCTTTGATTGTGTTCATAATAATTGAGAGCAAAATTATCCAGTATTCATTACATGCAACTTCAGGAGTTAAGAAAATGAATTTCATGAGCCTGCCATCATTTCCTTGCCAACTTGTATGTACCAAACTCTTTTCAGATTTTCAAGACTTGAAATATTTTCAAAACTCATATTACACTGGCCAGTAGCAATGACCTATATCACCTGTAGTATGTGTATGAACTCTGTGTACAAGAACTTTGGTGAACAAGGAGGTAATATGCTTTGAACTTTATTTTTCCAAATATGACAGCTCATGTGTATACATCTGTTTTTGTTTTTAGGCATCTGCTATATGAGAGAGGTGAGGTGAGGTGATATTGGGTTTAACGTCGTACTCGAGAATATTTCGCTCATATGACTATGTGCATGCGTGTATGTGTATGCGCAGCTGCTTGTACTAGCCCACACTTCAGCTGGTTTTATAGTGCTAGCCAACTGAGATACCATGCCGCAGTGTAGCATGAATACCCTACTCAGACACATTATACTGACTCCGAGCCGACCAGTCCTTGTTGTACCCATTAATGCTGAACGCCAGGCAGGGACCAACAAGTACCATATTTTAACGTCTTTTGGTATGATGCGGTCGGGGATGCTATTTGAGAGAAGGCCACAATCATGTGTATTATGTTGACAAACCAAGGACAATAGCTTGGGCAAATTTTCAATTCCCACCCTATCCATAATCAGCAGCTAACAGCAAAATTTTCACGAGTGATCTATTTCACTCTCTACCTGCTAAGAGCATTACTTGCAACAACCTAAAAACTATCTGGGTAGTAATCATTATGATAGGACAGGTAGAAAAACATGATCAAATTTGGCAATATGACTCCATCTACAATCTACATATCCAAGCAATAACCATAATGAATGAGTGAGGGCATGTTACAGCATGCCGCCACATCTGCAAACACAAAAATAGACAAAATACTTTCCCTACCTTTTGTTTTTTGTTTCGTTTAGAGGAGGAGGACTTTGTTGGCTGAAACAGAATATAATCATCGTCATCATTTATAACATACAAAGTATTTGACACTTGTACCTTTCGTAAAACAATTCAGATGCATATTGTAACTGTTATAAACATCATGATAATGGAAGTATTTTGTCATCCAAAACTTTCAGCATTTGATCAGATAAATAGTGTTTTGTCTGGGGTTAATGTATTTAGATGTTCTTCCTACAAGCTCAATTGTATTGGCTCTTCTATTGACTATTTTCACCAGTATATTATATAGAGATTATTAACCGAGTGTGTTTCTGTATCATGCGAGCCTTTGGCGAGCATAATACAGGGCTCCAGATAAGGGCCGTATCGGCGATATGTACGGATAAAAAATATGCACGATACGGAAGGAAAGGATTTTGAAAACGAAGCAGATACGCACCATAACAATGGTGTACAGTCTTAGAATCATTTACAGACGTATTTATCTGAAAAAGTATTGTTTTATTGTTTATTGACCTGTTTACTCAAGACTAGCAATGTTGTGGTGCATACATGAAACGAAACACAAGATTACTGATACTCCCATTAAATTCCATCAGTACTCTATATGTACTCTAACTATTTTCCGTACTCCTGTATTGAAAAAATAAGGAGTATGTACTCCTCATGTTGAAAAATTATCTGGAGCCCTGATAATACATAATTTTTATTCCTAATATATGATATTAATGATACAAAACACAAGGGCTAATAATCTCTTTATCATATAATGTCATTCTTAAAATTACTCTAAAAAAGAAGCAACTAGTACTTGAATTTATTTGAAGAGAATCGAGCATTCACGTAAGAATACTTAGCGGTACACCAAGGTGAAGGTCGTTCATGACAGCGGCATATGGTTGTGACTAGTCACTAATACAGTGCAAACATAACTCATGCTTAAAATAAGATCTTTAATAGATATAACAGATTATATACCATAGTCTTAGTTCCAACAGGTCTTTTTGGTGGCTCCTTTTTCTTCTCGGGTTGTGGAGCAGGTGGTGCCTTCTCTTCTGGCACAACTGGTTCTTGCTTTTCAGGCTGGGGTGGGGTTATCTTGATTCGCCCACGATCTGATTTGACCAGACTACTCTCGACAACCTCGTCATCAAACTTTTTCCTTTTGATTGATCTGGTTGAGCTCCTCCGAATTGGAATCAGATTCCTTGGGTCCAGGATAGGCATCCTTCTTCCTGACTTCACAGCTGGACTAGGTGTGTTGGTTGCTGATGACGATGGAGTTTGGGTTGGTGTTTGAACAGGTGATGGTGCAGCAGAGGGCTGGGGTGTCACTGGGGTTGATGAACCTAAACAAATGATAAACTTACACAAAAACAAAATTCATGACAAAATTTAGACATAACATTCCTGCCCCACCAAAAGTCAGTCAGGATTCCTCAAAGTATCAGTTCATTCTGTCAAAGTCTGTCAAGATATGAGTTTTGGGAGTCGCAAGAGAATATACTGCTCAACATTTCATATCCATGGGTCCAAAGGGTAAAGGATATGGGATAACTAACCCTAAACATCAAGGACCCAGGAGGCAAGAAAAAACAGTGTAGAGATACTAAAGAATATCTCTGGAGATATAACTGTTTCTAATAATACCATTTATTGAGTTGTGACCTGATTCTTGATTAAGTTGATACTCTTACCGAATATTGCAATTTATGAAGTAACACTTGTATGTACAACTGGCAATGATTCATGGTTTTAGAAAAGAGAAGATATAATATAGTTTCTGTTTGAACTAACTCAGCCAATTCAGCACATAACATCCAAAAGGTGCAAAAGTGAACGTGATATACGGTCCTCTCAATTGTGTCGTAACTGTAAATCATGCATGCTCCGTGTCCCGCAGCGGTTAATAGAGAAAAGAACAGTTTAAATAATACATAAATATATATTTACCAGATGGTGGCAAAGATCCAGGTTCTTCCATCCTGTTTCACTGCCTTGTAAATCTGTCTGCCTTGTGAAAAGTAGAAACAAAGCCAAGTTTGCGGACAGACCCGCGTAAATTTCAATAAAGCGTGAAATCGAAGCGATTTATACGCCTTATAATATGTAAACGTAATAGTTGCATTTTATTGTTTACAGTAAACGACGACCATCTTTCTTATTACAAATAATAACGACAAAATAAACCGTTAACTAGAAGCAAGTGTGTAATCGGTTCTTAACCGGAAGTTAACCATTTTAAGGTGTTTTCAAAAATTAGGATTGGGTGAAGTCAAAATTGGTTTTCGTATAAACACGAACCCAGCACATTCATCCATTAGAATCCTTAACAATAATAACGACCACAAAATATGATGAATCAGAACCTCACAATCTAGCTACATCTTGACATCATTAGGACTAGGGTATTGAAGATGTTTGGGAAAATAAGCAAAACGAAATATTACGAAAATATGGGACAACACAGTAATTCCGAGTTTTCAGTTAGTCAACTGGTCTGATGTCGGACAACATGAAAAGCATGAATTTCGCTGAATACATATGGTTATTTCCTTCAGCGTGGGAGGCAGGAGGAGAAAACGGGCATTGAATTAATTTCCTTGCATCTTATCAGCTCTATGTAGATAATCTTTTTGCATCAAATGGCATGTCTAAAGCCCAATAACATAATAAATCGTTGTGACATATAACGTTTAAGGGGAAGAAAGCGGGAGAGTTTTCCACAGAAAGCTAATAAATCCTGTTAACTGAAATAGGGTATCTAATAACAAATGAAACGACATTATTCATGAAAACATACCAATATTTATTAAAATAATATCTGATGCTTAGTCGGGCGTATCATTTCTTCCTTACGTTTTCTAGTGCAGTCCTTACGATAATCAATCTCAACTCATCATTGAACAGAGGAAAGTGTATCACTTTATATTCATACATTGTGTAACTGTGATTGCATAACAAAATGGCACCTTCCTTACCATATAAACTATCAACTCTACAAACCCCAATGATGTCATATGTATTGTCATTTATGTCATATGTAATTTATTTGAGAATTGAAATGTAATAGAAAAAAAAAAAAATAAATAAAAGAAACCAAACTATCAACTCGCCTATTTTGGTATACCCATTTTCATTTGTGAAGGACGATTATTATAGTTCCGCTTTTTCCGTTTCATAACAGCGACAACGATGAGCGGACGAGTTTCGAATGCTGACCAAGAGGTCTAAATACCTTCTCTGCAATTTTGAAAGTATCATCTTGTGAGAATTTTCTAAACATGTTTCAAATGAAATTCTTCTGAAGATTCTGTACTCGTATTCATAATAGCATTTGAGTGAGTGAGTGAGTATGGTTTTACGCCGCTTTTAGCAATATTCCAGCAATATCACGGCGGTAATGGCATTTGAAGACAATATGTATCTCAACGAGTTACACAAACAAGATGTCACAAACACCTCATGAACATACATTCCTAATATGTGATGGGACAAAAACAATGTATTATATTTATGTGTTGAAAGAATGATAAAGATAAATGTACAAGTATTGAACATACTACTGTCGACTATATCCTACACTCCATTATCTGGTGTGTACCTGGGAAATTCTACGGAGTCGGGTAGATGCGAATTCAGCCAAAAGTGCACAGGTCTTTTTTCACAATTGGAACACTAGTACGAACTTTGATTTCTCGTGTATCCTGCACGGCGTGCACGTGTTGGTTACAAACCAATCAGTTATGAGAAGGTCTCCGCAACCACTCGTCTCTTTCCGTAACCTGCAAGGGGACTTGCATTCGTCTATCTTATCAATGAATGTTAAGTGCGAAAACACTACAAATCAATTTTAATGCAAATAAGGACTGAGTTCCTGAATATACCCGAGTACTTTAATCATTAATGGCAGTATTTCATCATTTACAAATTGTGAAAAAGTGTTTTCATTTGACACTACAAAGTACATAGATCGCAGAACTATATTGCATAAATTGTTGTTGTTAGTAAATGTTCATTGAAGTCCAATGAGAGATTACACCCCGCGCGTTTGTTTACAAAACAGCTCGGTGTTTTCCTATTGAGTTGTTCTCCCGGACGATGTATTTCAAACGTTATTTTAGTTTAATGCCCATTTTGGTATATACTGAGAGATGGTACATATTTTAAAGGATTTGAAATAGTCAGATCCCCAAAACAATTCACCAATAGCTAGTTAATGTTAAATATTGTTCTTAGATTCCATTCCGTTGGGGATGTTGCGACTATGTGTAGCTCTTTCTATGAAAATATTGCAATTAATCCTGACAGTCTTGGTGTACATAAATACATGATATGTAATATGTATTATCAACGTCAATAGGGACATGTATGGTTGATCTTAAATGAACACATGTGTATCAGTATGGGTCTTATTACACTTGGGGCGGTGGGTTAGCCTAGTGGTTAAAGTGTTCACTCATCACGCCGAAGACCCGGGTTCGATTCCCCTCATGGGTAAAATGTGTGAAGCCCATATCTGGTGTCCCCCGTTGTGATATTGCTGGAATATTGCTAAAATTGGCGTAAAACTAAACTCACTCACTCTTATTACAGTTGAAAAAACTGTTTAATTCACGTTTGAAACTCTGAAATGTCAGGGACGTTTGAAGAAGTTAATTTACAACAACCGACTAATAAATTGTCTAAAACTTTTTAATCTAAAAAACATTATGTTTTTGGAAACCACAGATGAACAGCTGGGAATAATTATGACAGAATATGTTTTCAACACTTCCGTTTCTATAAAGGTGTGCTTCTACTAAAACAGCAACATGCAAGTGCTTGTGTTGTGTTTAGTACTACTGGAATTAAACACCCGGATACCTACTCGTGTCTCTCTGGAAGGACTGGGGTATGAACACCACTGGCTTAGAACCCAGTCGATAGGTGGTATTGGACTCACAAAGGCCGATGAAGATGTATTCAAGGTAATACTAAAACCTGTCACATGCTTGTAATAAAGATGTCTAAAATGTGGATAAAAAAGTCAGCCTCCGTGACTTCAATGGCTGCAACCCGATGGATGTGCAATATGTTGTAAACCACTCTTGTTGCAGGCTTAGATCTGACGCAGGCAGCCCATGTATAGCTTTAATACCCCTGACTAGGGCGTCAAATAGGGCTGCGCAATATAACCGGTTTACCGGTATTTACCGGTTCAGACATGAAAACGATACGTATTTGCGATACGCTGATCGAAAACCGGTATTTTGACTTGCATTCGGAAAACTTCGTAACACTCGGAAATGTTCGGATATGGCCTTGTTTCATTTGTGCCAAATATTATTCACATTTGTATTTTATCATGATTAAAAGTTGTTCTTAAAGCTTAATCAAGCCTAGTGATGTTGTTTTGTTTTTGCTCTATAAATCAAGAAGTAACTCGATTATAAGCAGTTTTTGTTAAAAAATACTTCATGCAATATATTGCAATACATATCGCAATACATGCTTTCACATCGCAATATATCGCAATATGAAAATTCTCTGCAATACCCACCCCCTAGCGTCAAACAATAAACACACAAGGCGGGCTATGTGAAGACAATAGAGTAGTCATGGATGCTGGAAGGACATTATGTCAAAATCAATAAAATGCAGGCAAAGATTCAACTTTTTTATTCAACCAACAATAATAAATAAAATCCGTCAGATATGTCCAGGGTATGGGACGGAGGTTTGAAATCAGATCACTTCGAATAACATTGGCAAAAATACCAGTTGGATGTCTTCATGGAAACTTTCTTATTCCCAGATCAGAATGGAAATGTGGTTGTGCCATCTACCTCATATATTTAGGTCACACTATACATAGAGGTGATGAAAATAAAGGCACTAGGAAAGTGTTGTGTATGTCAATACAATAATGAACACTGGTTGCCTATATATGTCATGAACTAAATACAGACGGGCTGTTTAAAGAAACAAACAAATTATTATATGTATATCATATCAGGTTAAATTCACGAAATTCACCTCTTGGGTGTCCATTGTCCATCTCATTTAAACTTAACCATGAGATTAACACCAATCATATTTAAAAATCGTATGACATACATGTCCAGAAATACATTAACTACTTAGGTAGTGTATATCACCGATATAATTAGGAGAAGGGCAGGAGGTATGGTGGTATATCCGGTGTCTGTCAGAGATGTTCAGACACCGTGAGGTAATCATGAGACATTATCGTTGCACTCGTCGATCATCCACAAGTAAACGTGACACAACAAATGACATGCTCCTAATAGATGTGATAATGCTTTTAGTGCACCAACAGTAAAAGGATGGCCATGATGGACAGAGACAGGACAGGCTTGTACGCTGAGTTGTCGCTGACGGTTGCCAGACACATCTCGGGCAACTGTGTGGTCAGGACCTTGCTGTAGGAGGATTTGGTCGACGGGTTGCAGGTGTCCACGGACTGAACCAGGCACGTGTTGCGCTCGGCGGTGTCTCTGCAATAACGAACCATTCTGCTTAATACACATGTTTTGTATTTGGGATTACACTTTCTTAGTAAAGAACACATTGTAGTACTTTTGGGTTGAGTCCCATCCGGGATTCGAACCCACACCCTCAGAGTCAGGCACCTAATCGCCAGCACACAAAGTCAGCTGCCTAACCCGCAAAGCCACCGCTTTGTGTGCTGGCGATTAGGTGCACTCTGAAATATGTCGAATCATGGAACAAACCCCAAAATGTGTCTTCACAAGACTATGTGTCTTCAAATAATCGAGTCTGGACCAGACAATCCAATGATCAATAGCATGAGCATCCATCTACGCAATTGGGAACCGATGACATGTGTCAACCAAGTCACCAAGCCTGACCCCCGATCCCGTTAGTCGCCTCTTACGACAAGCATGGTTTACTGAAGATCAAGTCTAACCCGGATCTTCACGGGTTCAAGGAAATGCTTAGTGATGAATTCATTCAGATTAATTATGCAATCTTAGTGATACAACTGGTTCCATAACCTGGGAACACAGGTTGTTAAACAGATGTCCTGTCGGTGGTATTGTGTACTTACTGACACAGATGTTTGAGAACACTCTGGTGAGACAGTGAGCGGCGTTTTCTGCTTCCGTTGCACGCTGACTTCGTTGCAGCTACAACACAGTCTGCGTCAAACTCTGGAACCAAACATAACGTATTTTACTTCATTTGACGACTATCAAAGTACATCAACATGCTGATTTCATTATAACGGATAAAATTAAATCATCGCTATATTTCTCCCCGAAATATCTGACAGTGTTCTTTGGTTTTTTGTGATTATAGGTTTTACTAACTTTGTTAGTACGCATACTGCGGTAACGTCCACAAACAGGGTATATACTCAAAGCGCTATCCACAGTCAGGGGTTCAGTGTGGGATTGATATGCATTCTCAGCTTCCTGGGGAGGATACAACCCCCGCTGTCTGTGTGGCGGTAGAAGGTTAATAGTTACATAATCCCATCTCGTCCCACCACGTACCCATTCACTGCCGGGGGAACAGGGACATATTTCAAACAATGTCACTCGCCTTTGGTGACATCACGTGATACATGTGCTCCATTGTGGTTCAAGTCCTTGACACTCTCATGAGTAGACACGCCCCTTCATGGACAACTGTTGGTCATCGTGTTCGATTCCCCACATGGGTACAACGTGTGGATCTCATTTGTGGTGCCCCCCGCCGTGATATTGCTGGAATATTGCTGAGAGCGGCATAAAACCAAACTCACTCACTTACCCGCTATTGTTTTACACAGGGTCTCCAAGCCAGTCTGTACTGTCTGTGTGTCGGGTACAGTGGGCTTGAGGCTGTCTGGGCTGCATTCACGCTGTACAAACAGTGTACAGTTGACGGCTTGCTGATGCATGGACAATTCACTGCATGAACAGAAACAAATGTACTCAATATAAAAAGAAGGAAATAAATCCTCAATCGTCTTGATAATAAACCTTAGTCATGGACCGTCGTTACTGGTATCATTGAAAATGGTTTCTCAGCTTTCGCCCGGATCGGAGCGGTGGGGTAGCCTAGTGGTTCAAGCGTTCGCTCGTCACACCGAAGACCCGGGTTCGAGTCTCCATATGGGTACCATGTGAAACCCATTTCTGCTGTTCCCCGTTGTGGTATTGCTGGAATAGTGCTAAAAGCGGCGTAAAACCAAACTCACTCACTCATTTAGCCTAGATCACATACCAAGCTTTATTGACCGTGTAAAGTCGTTCATGGTTAAAGACTGACATGTTTGAACCAGTGGTCAGTACCTGCACATCTGTTGACTGCGATCGAGGCTGATTGTTCTGAGAATGTACTCGCTGTGCTGCTCGCTAGTGTCCAAGTCAGGAATGGTCAGCGTGATGCCAGCGTCTACAAGACAGTTAAGGTAGCCTCTTTTCACTCCCCATCTGCTGGAACAGTCCACCGGCAGCTTCCTGTCAATTCCCAGACTCTCATCTGGCGAGAGAATATTCATTAGGTACTGACTGGGAGACAACACGTACATAGATCTCCATGGTTAACGTTAACACTTCATAGATTTTGTATGCACCACATTTCCCAATCACTTGTGAATACACTGTTCATCATTGCTTAACTACTGACCGACTGACTGACTGACTGAGTTTAGTTTTACGCCGCTTTTAGCAATATTCCAGCAATATCACGGCGGGGGACACCAGAAATGGGCTTCACACATTGTACCCATGTGGGGATTCGAACCCGGGTCTTCGGCGTGACGAGCCAACGCTTTAACCACTAGGCTACCCCACCGCCCCTGCTTAACTAAAGCAGTCACTATTACACCACATGTTGGATGTATGTATTGGTGGTAGCCGGAGGTGGGGAAACAACAGGTACACATAAACCAGATTTTCTTATGTATGTAGCAATCCTTCCTCGTATTCCAGCAACATTGCGCTGTAGTCATGAGTATGGCAGGTATTTATTTCGACACAATATTTATGTATTTGTGTGTTGCGTTAACACAGTCAGATATAGACGAGACTGTTTCTGAATCACGATCAAACAGCGATGACACCAAGTGACAACAAAATGGTGTCGTGACTCTTTCATCATGCGGTCATTCTCACCAGTATAATTTCTGCAAATTTCTGGATCGGGGATCGACAGCTGAAATTGTTGTAGCGCTGCATCGCCACACGACTTGAGGTGCTTCGTGCCACATAGACGAGTGAGAACGTAGCTTCTGCAATGATAAAAGAATAACCTAATATCATCACACTTGACTTCACCAAGGGCTAAATGCTCACGGTCTGGGCAAGTGTAGCTTTTCAGCCAATGAGAAGCTGACACGTTGCGGTAGCTATACTTGATGATAATGGTGTTAGATCTAACTCTTCACTCCACAGTTTTAATGTCCGATAAAAGCGGCGTAAAACTAAACTCAGTCAGTCAGTCAGTTTAATGTCCGATAGCATAGCGGTGGTAGAAGTATGTATTATCTAACAGCAGCAGTTGAAGAAGAAGTAGATGTAATTCTACACCACTTGGTGATAACTCCTACCCTAAACAGTAGTGATAGTTGTTATAGCAGCAGCAGTACTAGTAGTAGTAGTAGTGGTAGTAGTCGTAGCAGTGGTAGTAATAGTAGTAGTAGTAGTAGTAGTAGTGTTAGTAGTAGTGGTGGTGGTAGTAGTGTTAGTAGTAGTAGTGGTAGTGGTAGTAGCAGTAGTGGTGGTAGTAGTAGTAGTAGTAAGTAGTAGTAGTGGTGGTAGTGTAGTAGTGGTGGTAGTGTAGTAGTAGTGGTGGTTGTGGTGGTAGTAGTGGTAGTAGTAGTAGTGGTAGTAGTAGTAGCAGTAGTGGTGGTAGTAGTAGTAGTAGTAAGTAGTAGTAGTAGTAGTAGTAGTAGTAGTAGTAGTAGTAGTAGTAGTAGTAGTAGTAGTGGTGGTAGTAGTAGTAGTAGTAAGTAGTGGTATTAGTAGTAGTAGTGGCAGTAGTGGTAGTAGTAGTAGCAGTAGTGGTGGTAGTAGTAGTAGTAGTAGTAGTAGTAGTAGTAGTAGTAGTAGTTACAGCAGCTTTACGTACGCGCATGTCACCCGAGTGGCCCAGTCAGCATCAGTAGCGTTGTCACCAACTGGCCCAATGGACCGCCTTGTGAGGTTCACGCAGTCTTGTATTTCCGTCATCTTGGATATCATACAGTCTCTGGTCACACCTGAAATATAACAATACGAGGTTAACGCAGAACCGACACTACAGGCGGGCAGGTTTATGCTGAGCCATAAGACACCATTCTGTTTGACTGAAATGTGATGGTACATATAGATCTAGCGGTAAATAACATTGTCTTGATGACGCAGTGTGTCCCGGCCCCGGCCACAGACTAAAGATCTTTACTGGACATAAGCTCCAGATCGCAAATATGTTTGATAAATGAAACTAAAATGCATCGACATAGTCAAGCCTTAGGTCGGGCACGCATCAGAACTACCTTCAGAAAAGAATAAAGCTGTAAATATTAGTATGAAAGTGATTCACCCAATCGGTTGATATCCGGAAATCGTAAAACCCGTATCCGTTGACCCAATGTTAACCACTCTAGGTAGCCAGAGAGGTCTCACCTCAAGCACAAGATATTTCCCTAAACGTCTTACAAAACTGGGTTATCGTTTCCTCTACTGTTGAACCCTACATCTATATCTTAAATGGTGGTTACCCTGGATCCAGGAAGAGAATTATTTGATGGATAATGGCCACGAGTTTATATAAGTCTTCTAGTCCCCGGGTACTGGTCGGGGGTATTACCTCCTACATCACTGCACTGAAAGTCGATCTGCTGCCTGATCCTGTCCTCTGTAGGTACCGACGCCTGGAGTGCAGGGCTGCTCTTCGTGCACTCCTTCATGATGTAGGCAGTACACAGAGTGGCGCTCACATAGTTCTCCTTGTTATCCCGTCTGAAACAGACATTGATGGCCATACAAATACAACCAAACACCATTTCCGTAATCATAGAACATCTTTAATAGATCTCTAATAAATCATCATTATATACATATCACATAATGTCAGATCTCATAATAAATCATCGATGATCCTAACTGATCACATCCTGTGGTCTCGAAACGTGTGAGAGAAATTTAAAAAAAGACCATATGAACTTGCAACTGCCACTGAAAGACATCAATGTAATGATACTATGAACTTGCACTGGACATAATGTTTGGCACTGATGCATATTATTTGGTAATCACTTCCGCATTTCGGAAATTATATCACAATCGGTATAACGTTTGATTATTGGTTCTCAGCTCGCTACAGGTTAATCTTCATTCCTTTGCCACCCTTCTACAGGGTTTCACAACCCGAAACCTAGAAGTATACACAAAAGATCATGATTCTAGATAACCATCCCGCACTGCGGTAATAAACTGCCACGTTGTGCTCTTTTTCTTTTATTCTACGATCGGCGATTCTGAATATGACCGGAAGATACAAACTGAGTGCAAGATAAACAATCCAGGTATATCTCACGGTGTAAAAGTCTCGCCGTTAGCCTCTAACAGTCAATGACACTTTCTATTGACTTCGTGAGCTACCTACTGGCAGAGTGTTCTCGTGGTGTTACTGTCCATCATTGCAACCAGGGTCTGTATTGCATTTGATGAAGTGTTGGCCAGCAGCTCCGAATCGGGGAGCGTTATCGGGATGTTGTACAGGTCCAGACACTTCTGAGACGCCGTGACAATTGATGCTGCACCCGAGCAGTTCACTAGAGCCGCGAAGTTAGGGATGTCGTTACTGTCGGAGTAGATGCCTGGAACAGAAACAGAGAGTGTGTGAGGTGAAGTTTTATGCCGCTTTGGACGACAGTGTATCCTGCTACTACCACAAAGACGACACGGCCTCCAGTTACTACCACTCACACCACAGGGCCCTGTGCCGACTGACAGATCTAAAACTGTTTCGATTTTAAGGAATATATATGAGGTATTATCACTCAACGTTTTCATTGCAGACACATACTTCAACTTATGAGCAGTTCGAGAGTTAAGGAGTCTCGAGTAAACGTTCTGCCGGAACCATCACGTCCTTTGGACGTCCCGTAGGTCATCTGTGTCAATCGATATTGAAGCAACAATTTATCTCGATATCAAGTTTAGGATGAGTGAGAGATATATTACTCGCCGCTTTTAGCAATATGTACAATACAAGCAACATCACAGCGGGTGTAAGAAACATGCGTTGGACATGGGGATTCCAATCCAGACCTTGGGGGACGTGTGAATGTTTTAACACCTAGGTATATTTATCCTGAAACAATACGTTTTGCCATAAATAATTAACCATACATAATGTTAGAGAAGTGTCACTGTATTCGGATCGAGAAAATATTGGTATATGTTCTGGGTTTGAGGTGCGTGAGTGCGTGCGTGCGTGCGTGCGTGCGTCTTGGGTGTTTTGTGTTGTGAATTATCATTCACTGTAGCTGTTCCCCATGTCTTATGTGACGAGACTGTACGTTATACAACGAAACTATAGGAGAGGATGCCTAACCGGATGTTTACTAAACGCATGACACATATCCGGACACGCACATCACAAGCAGCTGATTGGTTTACCGCACACTATAGAGGAGTGAATACATATTGTGTAAGGTTTGCGTGGAGGGATAGTCCTGTACGTATTAGCTAGCGATGACGCTGATACTCTCGGGGTAAACAACAACACATAGACAGCTAATAACATGTCTCAGAAGTATAGTATCGGCAGTTCTTTTTAGAGGATTAATTGATAGCATATTGATGGGAAAATTAAGGCTATCTGAATCTGCCTGTGAGTGATGTATTTATTGTGTTATTCTGTCGGCTATACAAATGTGGCAGCTGGTGTACGCGACGTGAAAACCGGTTTAACTCATGCATGACATACACCATGTAGACAATTGAGGGGCCTTAAGGGGCACACCATTAATAATTCGGGTTCTGGGAATTTTACAATTCTGTTTTGTCAGTACTTCAAAGTTATTGCAACGTGATTTTTATGGCAAACGAGTTTACGAAACGCAACAAGACCAGAGAAAATCATTTTCCTAAAACAGTGTACAGATTCATCTGATTTTGTTTTAATCTCATGTGCGAACTAAATATGCTAAAAAGTATATAATTATATTCTTACATGTTTTTCATATTTATTAACCATACAAGCATGGTACGCATGCATCTTTAAATGATGTCCCATATATTTTGCATGTGAAATGTTAGAGGGCACTATTGGTCTGTCGTACAGACCCTGAAGCAAATATATCCAAGAAAGCCCACGCAAGTCTAGAAAATGTGGCAAGTCTAGATTTCCAAAGTGTCAGGGCTCCTTTTCATTACATATATATTGTTTTACTATGAACTTTTTTTTCAGTAAAATAGGTTCATTTCATTTTCGGGAATTCGATAATGCGCCAACGTTAACTGCTCAGAATGTGGAGGTTCCGTTAAACCGGGGTTTACATAAGTTTACTTGGGTGATTGTAGCAGTGTACGTACCTGCCACGAGACACAAGAAGGTCGCAAATTGTACACCCCACATTATGTAGACTGTAGATGATCCCAAATCTGAGCGTGTAGTTTCGTGGACCCCTGGTGTTGATATGTTCCTCTAATGCGTCAGTGTCAGTGAAGCCTGTCCTTATGTACTCCAGGCTCCATGACGTCTATCATCTATCGTGGGTGTGCCTAGTATATCCGCGTGTTTCCGAGTTTAATGATGAAATACAAACGTTTTAGTGTCACAATTATATCCCATATTTCCATCAATTATTATTCAGGAAAACATGGGTGATTGTCAAAAAACACATCTACGTTATTTTTGTGATTTAATTTCATTTAGGTACACTTAAACTTGAGAGTACGATTCAATTTTTGTGACCCTTAAATGAATGATTTCATATTTTGTCGTACAACTCTCTCTCTCTCTCTCTCTCTCTCTCTCTCTCTCTCTGTGTCTCTCTCTCTCTCTGTCTCTGTGTGTGTGTGTGTGTGTGTGTGTGTGTGTCTCTGTGTGTCTCTGTGTGTGTGTGTGTGTGTGTGTGTGTGTGTGTGTGTGTGTGTGTGCCCCACGCCTTGATAATGCTGGAATATTGCTACAGGCTGCGTACAACAATACTCACTGACTGTAAGGGAGGGCGACAGCGAGGACTGTATCGTATTAGGCTATATTTTGTAACAATGTTAAGTGGTGAGAATAAACAAAACAAAAAAGAGAAAAAAGCCCAACAGAAATCAGAACACCCAAAACAAGTAAAAACATATATCTCCATGTTCTAGACTCCAGACTTTTAATGTCCTTCCTCAACATGTACTCACATCATTCAAGTGATTTATGAAATATTCATATCTTCATATAGGATCCCAAGAAGAACCTTCTGCTATAGGCTTCTAAGGCAATGAGCAGTCGGAGAAGACATTCTACGTACATCTCACGCCAGGGCGACATATATAAAATTACCACTAAAAGCTTGCACTCTTCTCCACAAAATAATCTTGTGTTTAAAAACTGAAATAAAGTATTCTTTGGATGTTCAAAATATTGATGCGCTTCCAGAGTTTAGGTTTCAATGTTTTTAGGTATTTGAGTGAAGTGAAAGCAATTTGTTGCCCAATGGTACGTGACCATATTGATAAATCGGTTGATAAACGATTATGTAGGCGTATCACTGATGAACGCGGCTCCTGAGAACATTTCTGTCCAGTATCACACTGAACCACAAGCTATAAATCCCCCATGCTTCTTCAAATGTATCTGCTTTTGGCTACTCTTCATGGAAGATTACGTGATATCAAAACAAATCTTCTGACGTAGACGGGATCCAGAGAACTGAGAATGCTAATAGTGAGTGAGTATGGTTTTACGCCGCTTTTAGCAATATATCACGGCGGGGGACACCAGAAATGGGCTTAACATATTGTACATTGGACACTGAAATGAGTCTTCAGCATGACGAGCGGACGCTGCATTCGGCTACCCCGTCGCCCTGACTACATGTAGTAGTCGGTGAGTAATAATGCAAATAGACATAAGCAAAGATAGTCAAGACATCCATGCATTCCATTGTGAGCTGCAAGGTTCTCTAGACAGTTGTAGCTGGTAGCTTGTTTCTAGAATTTCCAGTTATGGCCCCACCATGACTTCCGGTGATGGTCAACAGCGTGGATATTCCAGCCACGTGCCCTGTTGTCTGCTTCGACAACCTTACCCATGCCTCCAGTGAATCGGATTTGGTGAATCGGTTAGGTTTTGAATTTTTCTAGGCCCATTCCAGTTAAGTGGCTGCTGATGGGTTCATCTTTGGTATATTGTGCCGAAAGGTGCCAAAGGTCTGTTCCAGCGGGTTGAAATGTCGCCTCATCTGAGTGTGGCCGAGAAGATCCTGTTGCTGGAAGGATGTTACCTGGCGAAAATGTTGTGATCTTCCAATGACGTCCATGTAGACGGGTTTGGTGGCCACCCCTGTTTATACAAATTTGATCAGCGATGATATCCCTGATGTGACGTATGTACCAGTCACCCATAGATTCCCCTGCGTAGTGGCCGTGTCCAGCTTGCAGTCACAGGATAATATATTACTGCGTGTTTTGGGATGATAAATATCCTGTATTAGAAATAGACATTGTATTTCGCTAGCCTCTAATCCGAGTACAGGATATTTGCCAGGCCAAAACACACACGCATGATATTTTTATTTTATCTGGAAGAGTAGCTTCCCCTTGACGCCTATGATATAGCTGGTGTTTTACCTCTAGTGACAGCCATGGCATAATACATGATCGGATGATTACTGGGCATCTCATGACCTCCCACAGACCCCTGGGAAACCAGTGGCTAGGGATAGATTCCTTTCATGTTGAACTAATGTCTGATAGAAACAAGGAAAAACATTGAGGTCGGGGTGGATTTGATTGTTCGAAAGTCGAAATTTGCCTGATTTAACTTTTCGTGATTGGGATCGATATCTGTGTCTCGATCAGGCTACCAGTCCTTACAAAGATGCGTGTCTCTCGTGTACGCTGTACATAGATGGGAGATGACTGACCGGATCAATAATCCCTCGTGGTGACTTAACGTGGGAGGAGAGATCGAAGTGATGCATGTCTTTGGACCTTTATTGGTTTCATGAGTGAGTGAGTTGGGATTAACGCCAGTTTGAACGGTAATCCAGTTATATATTTACACGTCAACCAAATGTTGGAGGAGACCCTAAGTGATGAAGGTCTCAGACGTGAGCAAGAGTATGGCGATGTCAAACATAATTCGGGTTTATTGAATTCGGGACCCACATTCAGAAGTTTCTGGTGTGCCAAAGAATGCAACTCTGACGCCTTTGACGACTGGGTCACCAGTGCTCACATTAGTTTCACACAACTACTGTGGTGTTGATAGAAACACCCACAGACTGACTGACTGACTGAGTTTGGTTTTACGCCGCTTTTAGCATTATTCCAGCAACATCACTGCGGGTCGTAAGACGACTAACAGGGAAATGGTCAGACTCGCTGGCTTTGTTGCCCATGTCATCGGTTCGAACCCAGGTCTGCTCATGTTGCGTAACGAGCTGGTCAACGCTTTAACCACTAGGCTACCCCACTGCCCTACACCCACAGAGGCATAATCGGTGCAGTCTGTCTTTCGAGCCCACGATCACAGGTTTCAGCTCACCTAAGTGAGGTACCTTGGACGACTGACGGGGCTCTGTCTCCGATTATATCGTTATTATCAATGGCTGAACTTAATTCAACCACCGGTTTCCTTGACTCGATGCCCTACCCAGTCTTGGGAGCCGCAAGCCGCTATCAAGAGTTGCGTCCCTTAGTCTCAGAAAGATCCGTTTATTGGCTGTTCGAATCCTGATTATTATCTTTGATCAGGTTTCACCGGTAGACGTCACGTGTACATAGATCAAAACGTCTTATTATTATCACCCACAACAGGAAAATATAGATTTTCAAGCGTATTTAAAACGTTTATTGACTGATAGCTAAGAGTTTTCGCGCTCATAGCGGGTTTGGAAAACAGATTCTCTTTCTCTGCTACCTCATAAAACCTCCTAATTATACATCTGTTTATCATAATCAAACTTGACGTCATCCTTTGTGCACGTGCCCCGAGGTGTGCGTGGAGGTTATCATGGCTAGATGGTTGGCACGACAGGTAAGTACTGTATCCACTATCTTGGTATGGACAAAGAAACACATTCGGCAGCTTCAAAATACATGTTTAATGATTCAGTGTGACCTGTGGTAGTTCATGAATGTGCGGTCGGAAGTGAGCGTGTTTGTGAGTTTATGAGTGTATAAGAGTGCTACTGCGTCAGAGTCTCCGCTTGTGTGTACGGGTGTTTAAAGCTGAGAGTGTTTGCGCGTGCGTACATGTGCGTGGGGTTGCGAATGCGTACATGGGTGTTCGTGTGTGCTAAACAACGTTTACTTATATACTTGTTAGTACTTCATTCTTTTTACTCAATACATATAATATACTGTTCGTGTATCATCAAAGTTTATGCAATGAGTACGCCAAGAGAGACATCTTGTATTGATGTCTATAAAATCAAAATCTTCGAAACAGAGGTAAAGGTATATTTACATATCAGGATAGAGCTTTTCCACACAATCCAATATTGATCCAACAATATATATCAAACAAACAAACAAACACATCATTGGCCAAGCATTACACGAGCTAGCCAAAGTGAAGTCCTTCTGTACAACCATGTCTGTTTATCCAGGGCCATCGTCAACACGGGAGACCTCTTGTCAGAATCAAGGTCATGCGTGTAAAATGGTATCGTTATAATGACTTCTTACCTTAGAAATTCAACTGTTTCAATAAATGAAGTTTAGTCAACTACTCCCAATGAAGTAAATGAGGATCACACATTCGGCGACCCCGGGAGGGGTTTTCGTAAACAATAACGTTCACCCCGTTCACTATTTTTGGTTGTTTTTTGTGTGAATAGTCAATAGTCAAGCCACAAGCACATACATAAACATATCGCTTTACCGTCATCGAAAACGAAAGTATCCATAAGAATGTACATACTTAGACAACAAAATTTAAGTGTACATATTTCACTATCTACATTCTTTCATTTCCGTCTGTCATTGTGTAAACTGTAAATAAGGATACATGTAAATCTGAGGGATTATAATGTCTAGTAGCCAACCCTTTCATTGACTGATAGAGCACAATATGTTTAACTAGCTCCGGTTACGACAAACGTCTGTACAGGCGGACTGTGTGTTAGTGACTCCAGTAGATGTTGGGATTCACTATATCCCGATCAACGGAATTTCACTTTCAACTCGATCGGCTTCTTTGGAGCAAAAACATCAAGGACCTTGAACTCTGTCAGTATATCCTGTAATAGAGGTAGACATAGTTACTACAGGTAATGTACATGGAAATTCATATAAATGGAGACATGTGTGTGATTGCTTTTAAATTGTTCTTTAGGGGCCAATCTTCAGCATAATTAAACATCAGACTGCTCTAACTCTTCAGACAACTGACTGACTGAGTTTGGTTTTACGCCTCTTTTAGCAATATTCCAGCAACATGACGGCGGGGGACACAAGAAATGGGCTTCACACATTGTACCCATGTGGGGATTCGAACCCGGGTCTTCGGCGTGACGAGCCAACGCTTTAACCACTAGGCTACCCCACCGCCCCTCTTCAGACAAAATACATGTAGATAAATCATATTATCATAAATACATAATACTATTGATTAATTAAATTATCAGATCTATATTAACTTCTTTGAGTGGCATTTAGAAGTTGATGTGATGAACAACGGAGAGAGTTCTATGGATATACAACTTCTTTATTATAGGTGAGGGTGAAACTGGGTTTTACGTCGTGCTTGAGAATATTTCGCTCATATGACGACGTGCATGCGTGTGTATGTGTATCTGCGGCTGCTTGTACTAGCCCAGACTGAAGCTGGTTTTATAGTGCTAGCCCACTGAGATACCATGCCGCAGTGAAGCATGAATAACCCACTCAGACACATTATATTGACTCCGAGCCGACCAGTCCTTGTTGTACCCATTAATGCCGAGCGCCAGGCAGGGACCAACAAGTACCATATCTTAACGTCTTTTGTATGACGCGACCGGGAATCGAACCTGCGACCTTCCGCTCTCCGGGCGGACGCTCTAACCACTACACCACGGAGGCGGTTCTTTATTATAGGTGTGCGCGACGTTTCGGTGTAGCTACTCACTTGCTTGATAACGGTGGTAGTAACTACAGTGAAACGTTGCTCACATTCACAATAAAGAAGTTGTATATCCACAGAGCTCTCTTCGGTGAACATCTATATTAGATAACGTGCCCGTTTCACTCAGCTTTGTGGTACTTAACGTTTGCACAATTCAGTAGTTTTGGGTGATGAGGCACAGTAGTCTATAGTGCTGCAATTCGCTGTACAGAGTTGCGCCCCTTAGACCTGCCAGTACTTTCAAGTGTGGAGACATGGAGCTCGATATCGTAGACTTGTACACTTATCTTGGACTTCTACTCACAGAGTCGCTAGACTATACCAGAATGGGGAAAACTGCTGCTAATTCTGCTAGTCGGGCTCTAGGACTTCTCATCTCCAAGTTCAAGATCCTCGGAGGAATGGGATATGAAACCTTCACTAAGTTATATGACTGCAAGATCTGGCCAACTATTTCATATGGAGCAGCTATCTGGGGACCGTATGCACTACTTGTTGTCGTATCTGCACCAGTCTTCCGAAAATGCACTACTTTGGATTTGCTTGGGTTTACCGACATCTTGTTAACTAGATATCAACAGTTCAGAGCATCCAATAAAATATTCAAATCTTCTTCCGTGTCAGCCAGAAGGACAACGTCGTCGGCATATGCGAGGATGCTTATCTTCAGATCATCTACTTGGACGCCGATGTTGAGGGCATTTACTTGCTGAATCAGGTCGTTTATGAATAAGTTAAAAAGAAGGGGTGATAAAAGACATCCTTGTCTCAAACCGCAGTTCACGTCAAACCATTCTGTTGTGAGTCCGTTAAGTCGAACACTGCACCGCACAGACATACAGAGACATCAAAGCACTGAACATGTTACCACTAATGCCGATATCTTCAAGCTTGTTCCACATAATCCCTCTATCGATACAATCATAGGCCTTTTTAAAATCGATAAAAGCAGTAAAAGTCCCCTTTCCCATACTCTTCCTGGTCTCAATAATAGATGTAAGGGAGTAAATATGTTCTGTTGTTGATCTTTTCTTTCGGAAGCCATTCTGTTCGTCCGCTAAGAGATTGTTAAGTTCAGCATAATAACTAAGTCTGACGTTCAGTACACTGCAATACAGCTTGTAAGTGGAAGTTGAAAGTGTATTCCTCTGTAAGACAGTTGACCCCTTGGGTCATCAGTGGAGGATTTCGGTATCGGGTTGATTATCCCTCCATTCGGCTGGTACCTTCCCTAAAGCAAAATAGGCATTAAAAAGATGAGGTAAAAAAGTAAAGGCAGGAATGGTTCTTTAAAACTTCGACTGGTATTTCATCACATCCAGTTGCTTTCCCTCTCTTGGCTTGAACTAGTGCATGGTGCACCTCCTCCAGTGTGATTTCCGCTTTCAAGGAGCTCAGGTCTGTTACGTCATCCAGAGGTCTGACGTCATCAATAGGGTGGAACTCTGTTTCATCCATGTTACAGCTCAATAGAGTGGAGTAAGCTTCCTTCCATGCACTAAGGACCGTCGTCATGTCAGAGAAGACTGTGCCGTCATCTAGTGTAACCTCCATTGGAATCCTCTTCTTTCTCTCAGTAGCGATACCAATATGACCAATCTCCTTCCAGAAGTCGCAACTACTCTTATCACACAACTCCTCGCTCTCTCAACTTGACGGTCCAACACTTTCCTTCTCTGTAAGTAGATGCGTTTTAGCTCCTCCTTATGATTGTCCTTGCACTTACACCAGTCTTTCTCTGCTGAACATAGGTCATTCCACTTTTCGGTCAAAATTTCATTCCACTATGCTTTCTTGGGTATCTTCGGTTTATTACTCCAACACGAGTTCAGTGGTATACGACCTGTAGGAAGTTTGTCTTTCAATTTCGTCTTAACAGTCTCTTCAAAGTCACGGAAAGCCAAATCAACATCGACTTGATTCCCGTTTGATGTCTCAATGTTCTTGATAATGTCTTGGATACTGGTGATACATATGGGGTCCGCTATAAACTCATTAGGAACATTTGTAGAATCACTCTTTAAATGTAATGTTTTCGGATATTATCATTCATCTCTGTTACGTCACTAAGAGTCTCACTGAAGGTACGAAGCTCTATACACCATGTCAATACTGAATGGTCAAGTTTACACACTCCCTCGGCATCGACCACCCCCGACAGATTAAGTTTACCCACAAGTTCACTGGGCCTCATCACACGGAAGTCTTAAAAACTGTTTATGTTTTCATAATAACACAGGCAGTAATCCACCACTGACACACCCCTCGTGGAAACAAGCGTACAACCATCGGGTTCACAACGCCCATTAACCATACACAAATTAGCATTAATAAAAAAATCAATAAACATACGACCATGGTTGTTCACGACATTGTCAACAACATTTCTCACAGGTAAAACATCAACACCTTCAGTAAAATCCAGGAAACCACCGCATCTGCTGTTAAAGTCTCCACAAATGCACACAATATTTATATCACGATACTGGTATATCTGCGACAGTAACGTGTCAAAAAAGTCAGCTGCATCCACATTTCCTGTAGCATGTTCTGGCGGTAAATAGCATACACAAAACGTGTACACGGAGTTTGTTGAAACCTTACGCGCGAGTTTCACCCACATAATACCTTCATATGATGTGTCTAAAACATACACATTAAACATATCTTAAAGCTTGTTCTTTATCAAGAAACCAACACCCCCAGAGCCTTTTCTAGCATTCCGATGTAGGGTGGTGCGGTTGTGACCATACCAGGTGGGTTAACTGAGACGCTGAAACAATGTCTGAGCTCCATATGGTGTGTTGATCGCCAGAACAGAGCAGTCAGTGACAGTTTGCAATGGGAAATGTGTGCTGAATGTTAACGTGTCTAGTCAAACCCCTCCAGTGACAATGCGGTCAGTGTGTTTATATGCTCATCACGTGTAAACCTACCGGGGTGTCCGCCAGTCGGACAAAGTGGAGTCTCTTGAGGAGGCGAGCCAGTGCGACCTTGACCTCCACCAGGGCAAGCCTCATTCCCACACACTGACGTGGACCTTGACCAAACGGCAGGTAGTAAATCGGATTCATCTCAGATTTTTTCTCCCATCTGTAAATAGTTATACGCCATGTCATACTTCTCGCAAAAACGATTCCCGTGAATAATTAAACGTTTCAGTAACCAACGTAAAGATTTACTAGCATCAAAACAGGGGAAAAAACACACGCATATTTGGGATAACACTTAAAGTACAGATTCTAGTACGTTTATTGGGTTGAGTCTCATCTGGGATTCGAACCCACACCCTCAGAGTCAGGCACTTAATCGCCAGCACACAAAGTCAGCCGTCTAACCCACTCAGCCACCACGGGTTCTAGACTACCAGTTGTCGGAAGTCCATTTTGCGGTGACTATCAAGATTGCTCCAACCATCTTTCAACAAATTATGTAAGGCGATCGCGTGGTGTTGATTATTTGTTGCTTATAATTTCCTACAACGATCAAAGAGAAGTAACCTGACCTTTCAGGTTTGAACTTCAAGGGTTCTGGGTAGATGTCCGGGTTCCTGTGTATCTGGACAACAGGGACGTTGATGTAGACACCCTTCGGGAACGTCCAGCCTTTGATTGTTGTTGTCTCAGGCACATAGCGTTGCAAACTGCAAACACAATACACATATCGCATATTCTTGGGGAGCCGAACATTGAAGCCCTGTTTGATACATAGGGGCGTGTCTCGCTTAGAAACAGCGTTAGAAAGACATATAGGTGTTAGACCCAATCCTATTACTATATAAAAGGATCGGGTCTATAACCTATATGTCTTTCTAACGCTGTTTCTAAGCGAAACACGCCCCTATGGTTTGATATTGAATACTGAACACAGTAAACGATCATTGTCACATCAACACATTCTATTAACACTACATCGTACAATTATCAAGTTGTATGTATCATATTTGCAACAAAGACAATATTCATCTACAGCAAAGACATTCTACGATATTAAATTGTAGTCTTCGGAATAAATAATGTTTGTTCCGGAAGAAATTGAGCTCCACATTTTAGCAGAACCGACCGGAAGAGGATGGAATGACGTACTCTGCTATAACTGGATACAGTCGCAGGGTTTCGGTCACCACTAGATCCATATACACCAAGTTATGGATGCTGTCATAGTCCGGTTCTTTCTAAAAAGGTAAGAGAAAATATTGAAATATCTAATTATAAGCCAAATCTAAGTTCACCTATTTCTAACCACTTTTTTTGTCAGTTTTCAGTGTCCATTACCGAACTACATTTTCTGGTCGTATACTTCCATGTTTCACGTGTTTATGTATCTATATCAAACGTCATCTGGAGATACCAAAACGGAGACAGATGATGACACAACACACAGCGATGAGACTTACATCTCCGAGAGACAAAGGATGACACAACACACATAGGTGAGACTTACATCACCGAGAAACAAATGATGACACAACACACAGAGGTGAGACTTACATCACCGAGAGAGACAAATGATGACACAACACACAGAGGTGAGACTTACATCTCCGAGAGACAAATGATGACACAACACACAGAGGTGAGACTTACATCTCCGAGAGACAAATGATGACACAACACACAGAGGTGAGACTTACATCACCGAGAGACAAATGATGACACAACACACAGAGGTGAGACTTACATCTCCGAGAGACAAATGATGACACAACACACAGAGGTGAGACTTACATCTCCGAGAGACAAATGATGACACAACACACAGAGGTGAGACTTACATCACCGAGAGACAAATGATGACACAACACACAGAGGTGAGACTTACATCTCCGAGACAAATGATGACACAACACACAGAGGTGAGACTTACATCTCCGAGAGACAAATGATGACACAACACACAGAGGTGAGACTTACATCTCCGAGAGACAAATGATGACACAACACACAGAGGTGAGACTTACATCACCGAGAGACAAATGATGACACAACACACAGAGGTGAGACTTACATCTCCGAGACAAATGATGACACAACACACAGAGGTGAGACTTACATCTCCGAGAGACAAATGATGACACAACACACAGAGGTGAGACTTACATCTCCGAGAGACAAATGATGACACAACACACAGAGGTGAGACTTACATCTCCGAGAGACAAATGATGACACAACACACAGAGGTGAGACTTACATCTCAGGGAGACAAATGATGACACAACACACAGAGGTGAGACTTACATCTCAGAGACAAATGATGACACAACACACAGAGGTGAGACTTACATCTCCGAGAGACAAATGATGACACAACACACAGAGGTGAGACTTACATCTCCGAGACAAAATGATGACATCTCAGAGAGGAGAGACTTACATCTCCGAAAGACAAATGATGACACAACACACAGAGGTGAGACTTACATCTCCGAGAGACAAATGATGACACAACACACAGAGAGGTGAGACTTACATCTCCGAGAGACAAATGATGACACAACACACAGAGGTGAGACTTACATCTCCGAGAGACAAATGATGACACAACACACAGAGGTGAGACTTACATCTCCGAGAGACAAATGATGACACAACACACAGAGGTGAGACTTACATCTCCGAGAGACAAATGATGACACAACACACAGAGGTGAGACTTACATCTCCGAGAGAAAAATGATGACACAACACACAGAGGTGAGACTTACATCTCCGAGAGACAAATGATGACACAACACACAGAGGTGAGACTTACATCTCCGAGAGACAAATGATGACACAACACACAGAGGTGAGACTTACATCTCCGAGAGACAAATGATGACACAACACACAGAGGTGAGACTTACATCTCCGAAAGACAAATGATGACACAACACACAGAGGTGAGACTTACATCTCCGAGAGAGACAAATGATGACACAACACACAGAGGTGAGACTTACATCTCCGAGAGACAAATGATGACACAACACACAGAGGTGAGACTTACATCTCCGAGACAAATGATGACACAACACACAGAGGTGAGACTTACATCTCCGAGGAGACAAATGATGACACAACACACAGAGGTGAGACTTACATCTCCGAGACAAATGATGACACAACACACAGAGGTGAGACTTACATCTCCGAGAGACAAATGATGACACAACACACAGAGGTGAGACTTACATCTCCGAGAGACAAATGATGACACAACACACAGAGGTGAGACTTACATCTCCGAGAGACAAATGATGACACAACACACAGAGGTGAGACTTACATCTCCGAGAGACAAATGATGACACAACACACAGAGGTGAGACTTACATCTCCGAGAGACAAATGATGACACAACACACAGAGGTGAGACTTACATCTCCGAGAGACAAATGATGACACAACACACAGAGGTGAGACTTACATCTCCGAGAGACAAATGATGACAAAACACACAGAGGTGAGACTTACATCTCCGAGAGACAAATGATGACACAACACACAGAGGTGAGACTTACATCTCAGAGGAGACAAATGATGACACAACACACAGAGGTGGAGACTTACATCTCCGAGGAGACAAATGATGACACAACACACAGAGGTGAGACTTACATCTCCGAGAGACAAATGATGACACAACACACAGAGGTGAGACTTACATCTCCAGAGAGACAAATGATGACACAACACACACAGAGGTGAGACTTACATCTCCGAGAGACAAATGATGACACAACACACAGAGGTGAGACTTACATCTCCGAGAGACAAATGATGACACAACACACAGAGGTGAGACTTACATCTCCGAGACAAATGATGACACAACACACAGAGGTGAGACTTACATCTCCGAGAGACAAATGATGACACAACACACAGAGGTGAGACTTACATCTCCGAGAGACAAATGATGACACAACACACAGAGGTGAGACTTACATCTCCGAGAGACAAATGATGACACAACACACAGAGGTGAGACTTACATCTCCGAGAGACAAATGATGACACAACACACAGAGGTGAGACTTACATCTCAGAGAGACAAATGATGACACAACACACAGAGGTGAGACTTACATCTCCGAGAGACAAATGATGACACAACACACAGAGGTGAGACTTACATCTCCGAGACAAATGATGACACAACACACAGAGGTGAGACTTACATCTCCGAGAGACAAATGATGACACAACACACAGAGGTGAGACTTACATCTCCGAGAGACAAATGATGACACAACACACAGAGGTGAGACTTACATCTCCGAGACAAATGATGACACAACACACAGAGGTGAGACTTACATCTCCGAGACACAAATGATGACACAACACACAGAGGTGAGACTTACATCTCCGAGAGACAAATGATGACACAACACACAGAGGTGAGACTTACATCTCCGAGAGACAAATGATGACACAACACACAGAGGTGAGACTTTCATCTCCGAGAGACAAATGATGACACAACACACAGAGGTGAGACTTACATCTCCGAGAGACAAATGATGACACAACACACAGAGGTGAGACTTACATCTCCGAGAGACAAATGATGACACAACACACAGAGGTGAGACTTACATCTCCGAGACAAATGATGACACAACACACAGAGGTGAGACTTACATCTCAGAGAGACAAATGATGACACAACACACAGAGGTGAGACTTACATCTCCGAGAGACAAATGATGACACAACACACAGAGGTGAGACTTACATCTCCGAGAGACAAATGATGACACAACACACAGAGGTGAGACTTACATCTCCGAGAGACAAATGATGACACAACACACAGAGGTGAGACTTACATCTCCGAGAGACAAATGATGACACAACACACAGAGGTGAGACTTACATCTCCGAGAGACAAATGATGACACAACACACAGAGGTGAGACTTACATCTCCGAGAGACAAATGATGACACAACACACAGAGGTGAGACTTACATCTCCGAGAGACAAATGATGACACAACACACAGAGGTGAGACTTACATCTCCGAGAGACAAATGATGACACAACACACAGAGGTGAGACTTACATCTCCGAGAGACAAATGATGACACAACACACAGAGGTGAGACTTACATCTCCGAGAAATGATGACACAACACACAGAGGTGAGACTTACATCTCCGAGAGACAAATGATGACACAACACACAGAGGTGAGACTTACATCTCCGAGAGACAAATGATGACACAACACACAGAGGTGAGACTTACATCTCCGAGAGACAAATGATGACAACACACACAGAGTGAGACTTACATCTCGAGGAGACAAATGATGACACAACACACAGAGGTGAGACTTACATCTCGAGAGACAAATGATGACACAACACACAGAGGTGAGACTTACATCTCCGAGAGACAAATGATGACACAACACACAGAGGTGAGACTTACATCTCCGAGAGACAAATGATGACACAACACACAGAGGTGAGACTTACATCTCCGAGAGACAAATGATGACACAACACACAGAGGTGAGACTTACATCTCCGAGGAGACAAATGATGACACAACACACAGAGGTGAGACTTACATCTCAAATGATGACACAACATGATGACACAGACAAATGATGACACACAGAGGTGAGACTTACATCTCCGAGAGACAAATGATGACACAACACACAGAGGTGAGACTTACATCTCCGAGAGACAAATGATGACACAACACACAGAGGAGACTTACATCTCTCGAGACAAATGATGACACAACACACAGAGGTGAGACTTACATCTCCGAGAGACAAATGATGACACAACACACAGAGGTGAGACTTACATCTCCGAGAGACAAATGATGACACAACACACAGAGGTGAGACTTACATCTCCGAGAGACAAATGATGACACAACACACAGAGGTGAGACTTACATCTCCGAGAGACAAATGATGACACAACACACAGAGGTGGAGACTTACATCTCCTGAGAGACAAATGATGACACAACACACAGAGGTGAGACTTACATCTCCGAGAGAAATGATGACACAACACACAGAGGTGAGACTTACATCTCCGAGAGACAAATGATGACACAACACACAGAGGTGAGACTTACATCTCCGAGAGACAAATGATGACACAACACACAGAGGTGAGACTTACATCTCCGAGAGACAAATGATGACACAACACA